AGGCATAGACACAGGCAGGGGTGAGGACAGGCCACAGTCCAAGGCATAGACACAGGCAGGGGTGAGGACAGGCCACAGTCCAAGGCATAGACACAGGCAGGGGTGAGGACAGGGCACAGTCCAAGGCATAGACACAGGCAGGGGTGAGGACAGGCCGCTGCCCAAGGCATAGACACAGGCAGGGGTGAGGACAGGCCGCTGTCCAAGGCATAGACACAGGCAGGGGTGAGGACAGGCCACAGTCCAAGGCATAGACACAGGCAGGGGTGAGGACAGGCCACAGTCCAAGGCATAGACACAGGCAGGGGTGAGGACAGGCCACAGTCCAAGGCATAGACACAGGCAGGGGTGAGGACAGGCCACAGTCCAAGGCATAGACACAGGCAGGGGTGAGGACAGGCCGCTGCCCAAGGCATAGACACAGGCAGGGGTGAGGACAGGCCGCTGTCCAAGGCATAGACACAGGCAGGGGTGAGGACAGGCCGCTGCCCAAGGCAACACAAAGGCAAGGGAGCCCCGGAGAGAAGGGTGCTTCCTGGCGCCGCATTTGAGGCTCTGGGTTTGGTTAAGCTGCACGCTGTCTCTACTTCACAGTTGGATTCTTAGAATCAAAGCCCGGCATGACTTAGGTACCTGTGACTTACAGCCAAAGAGGATTCCTGACCAATAATCCTGCAGTGTGTGTTGAGCCCCTATCCTTGATGGTGGGTAGCCCTGGAAAATGCCACTTAGAGCCAGTGTCTGAGGCAAGGGTTTTCCACGAGGCTGCATATCTGAAAGACCCCGGACAGATGAGACCCTACTTTGCCTGCCCCTGTCCTAGCTGGCTATGGTACTCAGCCTGTGGTGAGGCCTAGGAATCCCATCTCACTTACTTGACAAATGTTCAAAGTAATTCTAATACGAAGGCCAGTTTGGGTAACCAATGTCTAAGAATATCGTTTTGTAAAATACAGCCATAAGGGCGGGAAATGTGTCATTAACACCTTTGATCCCAGCACTCTGGATGCAGAGACAGGTGGATCTCTGAATTTCAAGCCAACCTGGACTACATAACAAGTTTCAGGCCAGAGGTACATGGGAAGACCCTGTATCAAAAAACCAAAGCCCAACAAAAAATTCAGCTCTAAAGAAGAATTTAAAAAGGTACCTATTATAGGGTTTCAGAAAACCGTCAAGCCTGAATCCCTGGGCTTGGCTTCCAGAACAGCAGGGCAACATACTACTTTTATGTGGGCTACACAGGCTTTTCTGACGTCACAGGTGAGTGCCGCCATACCCGGCTGGCAACAGGGCCTGAAAGCTCACGGGCTCAGCCGCAGTCATTCTACCTGGACTCTGAACCATGGAAATGAAAAGAACACAAGACACACACACACAGAGATGCTCAGGGCAGCTGGGTCTCTAAAGCCAAATGCTTCAGATAGCACCAGCTGAGGGATGCTGAGGGAGGAGCCAGTTGGGCCCGCCTCTTACAGGCACATTACTGAAATTTTTGCCACCAAACTCACATAAGAGTGGAAACTTAGAATACTGATGCTATATAAGTAAACATGACCTCACTAAGCTACATACATATATGTGCAGTTTAACACTGGCATACATATCGGTACATATTTATACCACAGAATGTCAATTCTTTGTTTAAAAATAAACAATAGAATTCACCAAAATATTAAGTGATTGTCTTTAATAACTTAGATTTTCTTTTGTTTTGGTGTTTGAAGCAGGCTAGCCTCAAATTTGCTATGTAGCTGAGGATAACCCTGAACTTCTGAAGCTCCTGCCTCCACATCCCAAGGGCTGGGATTACAGGTACAAACCTGCACAGCCAGGTTACATGGCGCTGGGGATTCAAGCCAGGGATTGGTGCATGGCAGGCAAAGATTCGACCATACAATAACATTCTCAGCCTACAGTCCTATTTTCTATATTTACAAAAAGTTGTACAAATATTTATTTTTTTACATTTTTATGATTTTACTTATTTTTAGGTATATAAGGCTTGCCTGAACATATGTCTATGCACCAGATGTGTGCAGTGTCCACAGGGGCCAGAAGAGGGTGACAGATCCCTTGCAACTGGCATTATAGACGGCTCTAAGCTACCACGTGGGTGCTGGGAATTGGTCCTGGGTCCTTTGGAAAAGCAATTGGTGTTCTTAACCATGAACCATCTCTCCAGCCCTGAAATTCATTTTTTTTATGTGTGTGTTGTATTAGTGACTGAGCCCAAGGCCTCACATGCACTAGGTAAATGGGCTACCGTTGATCTATACCCTAGCAACAAAATGTATCCCGTATCGAGATGACTCAGTGGGTAAAGAGCTTTCTGGATAAACCAGCATAAGGACCCATGTAAAGAGCTAAGGGCAGCTGAGACTCCCGTGCTGGGCGAGCGCAGAGACAGGCACATGCTGTGAGCCCACTGGCCACAGAAGCTAGCCAGAAGTGTGAGTCCAGCCCCAGTGAGAGGCCCGTTCCCAAAATAATTAAATTTTAAAAGGTGAATAGATAAATAAGGCTGGGATCTGAAAGATGGGCTCGAGGGTAAAAGTAGTTGCCACTCAGCAAAAGAAGCCTGGCAGCTTGAGTTCAGTCCCCAGAGCACCGGAGAGAACCGGCTCCACATAGTTGTCCTCCGGCGTATCACGGCATGCACACACCTCCAGTAGAATCAAAATTTAAGCCACACACTAATCCCAGCACTGGGGACGCAGAGACGGGTGGATCTCTGTGTTTGAGGCTAGCCTGATCTACAGAGTGAGCTCCAGGACAGCCAGAACTGCTACACAGAGAACCCCATCTCAAAAATAAATAAATAAATATTTTTAAAATGGCAAGTGATAGGCAAGGTAGTAACACCCCACATGCATACACCACATACAAACACAAAATAAGTATCTGAAGAACATTTTTTTCTAGAGAATTTCTAACCAAATGGAAAGTGCTTATGACATATCATGCAATGTAAGGAGACAAGACAGTCATATGTATTCAGTGTGGTGACCATTCACTGTATAAATGCATAAACACTAGCAAAACAGTAGTAACTGTCAAGGCTGGGTGGTGGGATTATAAGTAGCTCTTTCTTCACTTTACCTGCATCTTTCCCAGATGTTCCTGCAATGAGAATGTAACCCTGTAAGTTATATTTAGAGCAGACTGTTAGTGTTTGGGGATTCCTGCCATGTGGTCAGCCTGATGTTTGAGCTACAGAGTCAGGACCAGCATCCACCCAGCTCCCAGAGCTGCCCCAAGAACACACTCTAGGTTAACGGCAACTCTACAGAAGGACAACACGACCCCTGAGCTCTCTCGCCCGGTGATGTGCTCCCTGCCTCGAACACATCATCCCCCGTTCTAGTCCTTGCCTGATCACATGCCCAGTTCTGCTCATCAGGTCATCCCCTGACTCTCTGCTTCTTAAATTGCAAGTTTAGGGCTGGAAAGGCTTCTCAGTGGTTAGAGCACTGGCTGCCTTTCCATAGGCTCAGTTCTCAGTACCCACATGGTGACTCAGCTGTCTTTAACTCCAGTTCCTGGGGACCCAGCACCCTCTTTGGCCTCCATGGGCACCAGGTACACACAAACATTAAGGGAGGCAAAACATCCATACATATTAAATAAAAATAAATATTTTTAAAGATATGGGTTGCTGTCCCCAAAATGGGGTCATGAAATGACTGCAGCAAGCTTGGCAACAGTAAATGGTTTCTCTGAAGACACAACAACTGAAAATATGTTTAAAGTCAACTTGCAATCAATCCAAGGGTCGCGTGGCAGCACTCATCACTCCATCCTGCATCAAGCAACCTCGCTATAGCCTTGGTTCTGAACATACCAGGATGCTGCCATACCACAAGACACCACTGAGTGCCCATGGAAACCTCGGCAGGGATCCAAGGCTACCCACTGCAGACTGCAGTGTCTTTACTGCAGAGGTGTGGTCGTGTGACTATGGAAAACAAAGATTTTCCCTACCATCGCTACTCGGCATGTGAGTATTAGAATATATTCAGAATGTACTCTGAGAGAAGTTTCATTGTTTTGTCCCTGGTCCTGGGGATTGAACCTGGGGCCTCAGGCATGCTAGGCATGAGTTCTGTGGTTGAGCTAGATCCTCAGTCAAAAATGTTTGATTAAAGAATTGCTGTTTGAGTTGCTGACTCAAGTTTCATTTTTTAAAAATCATTGAATGAATCTTGACTCATGATTAGATAGAATTTCTGAAATGGCCCTAACTACACCCTGACTATTTTGGCATCACACATTTATGGGAAACAGTATGTTTAGTATTAACAGTTACAAAATCAAATCTCAGGCACCTCTGAAAAGCGCTGAAGCATGGACACTCAGCTGAGGTTCAATTCTTTATGGAAGAAGAAATGAGCACAGTGTCTCACTAATATACAAATTTGTTTTTTATCTTCAGCAAATGGTAAAACTGTATGGAAACCACAAAATTCCTTTGAAATAGGTTTCTTCCTCGTTTATTATCAGCAAATGTTTGATTTATGTACCTATTTTATACACAAATACACCCAGGGTTGTGTAAAAAAAATGCTTGGGCAAAAAAGGGTTTGCAGGCTGGGCATGCACACGCCTTTAATGCCAGCACTTGGGAGGCAGAGGTAGGGATCTCTGAGTTTGAGGCCAGCCTGGTCTACAGAGCGAGTTCCAGGATAGCCAGGGGTACATAGAAATCCTGTCTCAAAGAAAAAAAATAGAGGGGGTAGGAGGGGTACAGCAGCAAAGGTTAAAGAGGCCCCCACTACGTGTAACACCACATATCCACGAGGAATCTTTCTTGGGGAACGGACACATCTTTACCTCCAGTTAGTTACTCAGTTCATCTGAAGTCCTCAGAATCTTCCTGCTGATCTGTTTACTTCAGAAGAAAAACGGCATGTTTCCAGGCTGGCCTGCAGTGACTGTTCCCGGAGACTCTTGATATAAATAGCCCACCCCAGTGCTGATCTTGTGTGTGTTCTACCTACCATCTCCTCTGATGGGTAGAAGCCAATCGCTCTCATGACGAAAGGGAGCTCCGACAGGCAGATGTGCTCCGACACCTGCCTGGTCTCCATCGTGTCAATGCCTTGACTGCGGATCTGAGAATAGTAGAAATAGTCCTCCAGCTCCTGTGTGGAACCAGGCAGAAGCAGCGCTCGGAAGTCAGATACATCCACGGAGGGGACATTTTCCAGAAAATGTATTCTAAGCTCAGTGGGGGGAGGGAGCCTTATGGAAAGTGGGTTAGTCTCTAATGTTTGCCTTGACTAGATGTCCCCAGGAAATGTTTGACGACAATTACCCTATAGAATTTTCCTTCTCTGCCACCAGACACCAGACCGTAGAAAGGGGTCAAGTCTTCACCCCCAAGAGAAACGGCTGCATCCAGGGCACTGGAACAATGAGAAACATCACCATTAGGAAGCACTCATGCATGAAGTCATGGAGTTGTCACACAGATGGTGGCCTCTGCAGAGTCTCTGTCCCTCAGTGATGAAGCCTGTGACAGAAAATTCAGTTTTGGGTGTGGAACACAGCCGTACAGGGCACCCACTTTAATTACTGTGATAGGCTCATTCTGATGATGGGGGGGTGACTGGCAATTTGTCTGCAATCTTTGGGGACCACATCTCTCCCGGGGGTGAGGGGAGGCTCTAGTTTGAGACCTCACCCCTCTTGAGCTGAGAACAGCCAACCAACGCCAAAGGACCGACGCCGTGCAGGTGCAGCGCCAGCGCTAATTGCTTCCAGAAAAGCCCGAGAGATTGCAGGGACCCATGCCAAGTGGATAAAAATACCCCTCTGCTCTCCAGCACAGGGTCAGTCTCCAAAAATAGTCCCTTTGAATGGGAAGAAAACCTACTTTTGCATGAGATCAACTGACTTTTCCTCACACAAAAGGCAAACAATCTAAAAGTTACTGTAAAAAAAAAAAAAGCCACTCACTGGGTTTCTGCTAGTTCAGAGAATTAGAACCCACTTCAGTGGGGACCTTCGATGGAGAGCTGAAGGATCGGGAACTGAAATCACAGGGACACACATGTGAGCCCCGACTATGCCACTTGCGAGCTGTGTGACCACGAGCAATACCCGCCTCTGCTCAGTTTACTCATCTGCAAGATGGGTAGGATCACATAGGGCTGCCATAAGAAATAAATAAGGAAACGCACATGAAGGATTTGCTGCAGGCCCTTTATTTTTCCCTGGTACCATTCCATCACTTTAGCTATCAGTAGACCCTTTGGAATTTAGTGACCTGTATTTTGAAGAAGAGCACTTTTCTCTCAGGATGGCTGTGAGGATGAAGTCAAGATGACTGTGTAAAATGCCCAGGAAGGGGCCAAGCCCAGAAGCGCAGCTCTGTCTGTACCAAGGGCTGACGAGCACTGACATGTCTTTACCCTTCCCATTATGTCCTCTGCCCTGTTGTGGAGTCCAGTGGAGGGCCTGATGCGTTTCTTCTCCACGTGAGCCTGAGGTCCTGGCTTACAGTGCCCTGCTCTGACAGGAAGCTACGAAGGCAGGAGATCATCCAGGCCGTTCCTTCTCTGTGGCCAAACTTGGCCTGCTCCTGACCAAAGGGTGACAAAGCCTGGGCATGCTGCCTAGAGCAAGGGTATCAGGACCAGAAGTGACATGGGAGCCGGTCACCACCAGGAACCCCTCAGGGTAGGGCTGCAAATGCACGTGGCTTTCGGCGTTCTCGGCTCTGCTGTCAGCATCGTGCCCCGCTCCCACCACTGTCTGCTGACCCTAGAGGGACCAAACTTCTCTAACCAGAGAGAAGAGAGAGGTTCATTGTCTGTGCCAGAGGAGGACACTGAGGGCAGAGCTAGGCAGAAAGAAGGCTGAGGGCCACGAGCTATGCTGTAGGTCCTGCACGTCAAACAGCCACAGGGCATTCCAGCCACCTTCCCAAAAGCCTACTTGTACCTAAATTGGGGTCTCAATACTCACACACACACACACACACACACACACACACACACACACACACACACACAAAGAGAGAGAGAGAGAGGGGGAGGGAGATCATCCATCACTGGGGCACAGAAGGAAAGTGGCATTTATGTTTTTAGGTTTACTTTATTTTGTGTGGACAGGTGCTTGCCTGCCTGCGTGTGCGTGCGTGCGTGCGTGCGTGCGTGCGTGCATGTGTGTGTGTGTGTGTGTGTGTGTGTGTGCACCACATGCATGCCTGGTGCCTAAGGAAGTGGTGAGCATCTATGTGGGTGCTGAGAATAAAACCCGGTTCTTTGCAAAAACAACAAGTGCTCTTAACTGCTAAGTCGGCTCTCCAGCCCTGGAAAGCGGCATGTATTGAACATATGTGTGCTCAGGAATAGTGTGGTGCTTCTAGGCAAGGGGCAGAAGCTAGAGACACCAGGTACATCACGAGCAGCATCAGGCAAGTGCCTGGGAAATGGTCCCCAAAGGAGGCATGGAAAAGCTGGGGCTCAGGGCAGCTATAGCCCAGGGTTATCTTTGTTGTTGTCGTTTATGTTTCATGTATCCAAGGTCAGCCTTGACCTCACTATGTTGCCGAGGGTGACCCTGAACTGCCGATCTCCTGCAGCTACTTCCCGAGGACTAGGATTACTGTCATGTGCTACCATGTCTGATCAAGCTGGGACTTGAATCCGGTGGAGGTGGGAGGTTTCTCAACCTCACTTCACTTTATAGTTCTGTCACCAGTAAATTTAGTACAAAACTTTTTCTTTAGAGAAGGTCTTATGTAACCCAGGCCAACCTTCAACTCAATATAAAGTCAAATCCTTCTGCCTCCACCTCCCAAGTTCTGGGGCTGTTGGCGTGTGCCACTGGGTTGTCTTAGGGTTGCTATTGCTGTGATGAAACCCAGTGACCAAAGCTACTTGTGGCTTAACACTTCTGTTCATCATCAAAGGAAATTAGGACAGGAACTCAAACAGGACAGGTCCCTGGAGGCAGGAGCTAATACAGAGGCCATGGATGCTTAATGGCTTGCTCACCATGGCTTGCTCAGTCTGCTTTCTTATAGAACCCAGGACAGCTGGGCAGTGGTAGCACACGCCTTTAGTCCCAGCATTTGAGAGGCAGAGGCAGGTGGATCCCTGTGAGTTTGAGTTTGAGGCCAGCCTGGTCTACAGAGTGAGTCTAGGGGCAGCCAGGACTACACAGAGAAACTTTGTCTTTAAAACAAGGAAGAGGAGGGGGAGGGGAAGAGGAGGAGGAAGAGGAGGAGGAGAAGGAGGAGAAGGAGAAGAAGAAGAAGAAGAAGAAGAAGAAGAAGAAGAAGAAGAAGAAGAAGAAGAAGAAGAAGAAGAAGAAGAAGAAGAAGAAGAAGAAGAAGAAGAAGAAGAATTATCCAGCCTAGGTGGCCCCACCCACAGTGGGCTAGACCCTCCCACATCAAACACTAGTTAAGACAATGCTCTACAGGCTTGTGAACAGCCCGATCTTATGGAGGCATTTTCTCAGTTGAGGTTTCCTCCTCTCAGATGACTGTAGCCTTTGTCAAGTTGACACAAAACTAGCCAGCACATACATCTATGTGGTATTCGGAATGGAACCCAAAGGTTGTTGCATGGTAGGCAAACACTCTACCAATTAAGCTTCAGCCTGGGCCCTGGGAGAGAATTGCATTGTTTACTTGTTTGGGGTTTTTACACTTCTTTCCATTAGTGAAATGCTGAACATATTAAGTCACCAGAAGCAGCAATAAAGTGCTAATTAGTTTATAATGATCCTTTGTCCCCACAACAGATTAAATTGAAATTCTCAGAAGCCTGGATTCTGGCCAAGCATAGGGAAGCTACTGGAAATCCCTACTGGATTCCACAATGACTGAGGACAAAAAAAATCAAAAGGGGGAGATTCCACCCCCCCTCCAGCGGGCCACTGGTCCCAAGGACTGTGGGTGGCAAGTGGGTGACACATTGAGCCTATTGGAGAAGTGCTTCTGGATGGAGAGCTAGCTCACCTCCAGTTGCCAAGTCCCCGAGTTCTCTGGATCAGCTCACTCGGGAGGGCAGAGGCAAAAGGCAGAGATGCACCTGCAATTTGAAGCCATCACAGCACCAAAACAGATTTCGCCAGCTATTTCACTCGAGTTTGGGGTAAGAAGGAAAGCACTAGCATCTGCCATAGGGAGGAAGGTGTGCAGACGGCAGGGGCAGACGTGGCGGGGAGTCACGCATCAGGCTGCTCTTTGAGGGAGGAAGCTTGCAGGAGCAGGGGTGGGGTCATGGACACGTGGTCCTGCTGCCCACTTCTCGGCTCTGCCCTTGTTCAGATTGCTGCGTTTATGTGGATGAGAGGGTCACCTTAACCACCTGTCCCATCTCATACGCAAATGCCCTATAGTCTCACTCTGATGTACAAGCCCAGCATTTTCCAGCCTCACTATAGGCAGAGCAGGTCACCTCTCAGGGAAGAGAGGGGCAGAGGAGCCGACTGACAACAGATTCTTAATTTACCCTTACTGTTTCTGTAATGCCTACTTTGGAGGCTTGGCCTTGGCCTCTGGCCAGCAAGAGTTTGTACAGCTACCGAGAAATACTTCAGGGAGCCAGGCGGACCCAGGGGCACTCTCACCATCCAAGCTGGCAATGTAATGCATGGTCCATGAGACTGCACAGCAGCCTTTGAGCTACACATAATGTCACCAGGAAGCATCCTGAGAGCCAGGTATGGTTTCGTCCTAGCACAGCACAGGGCATATAATTGTAACTGTCTGTTGCAACTGAACGAAAAGAAGGTGTCTACGGGCTGGAGCGATGGCTCAGTGGTTATAAGCGCTTGTACTCACGAAGGTGATTCACAACTGCATAACTCCTACTCCAGGAGATCCAGTGCCTTCCTTCTTCTGGCCTTCTGAGGCACGCACATACATGAGTGCATACTAACATGCGCACACACACACACACACACACACACATTTTTTTAAACAGATGTCTATATTTCCTTATAGAGCCAGATTATGTCCCCTCACGTACCTTAAGTTGATTTCCCACTGTAGCACTGAGCAATCTTGGCCTCCTGCTGTGAAGGCATAGCGACCATCATAGGAAAGGGCCATTCCAGCCACCCCATTCGGGTGGCAAATAATAGCACATGTTTTGTGCGGGTTGCCGTCAACAGGTAAGATCTGGAGTCCAACCTAGAGAGGCAAATGTAATTAGCTATTCAGACTCCAGTACCCGAGTCTCACGCTCAGTTGACATACCCAAGCCATGCACACATCTGGAGCCGTCTGTCAGAGTCAAGCTTAACATATGACTACGTGCAACTGATTTGTCTGTCTTCCATGTAAATTAGAATTTTCCAGGCCAATAAAAAGAAAGAAAATCGTCATTTGGAAGGCTATGAGTTTTCACTGGGAAACTCTGAGAACTCCATTAAAAAAATGTCTCCTAGGTGCCTATGGGATGGCTCAGTGGGTAAAAGCACTTGTTGCCAGGCCTGCCTGGGTTCTACCCCAGGGCCCACATGGTAGAAGGAGAGAGCTGATTCCTGAAAGTTGTCCTTTGACCTCCATATGCACACTTTGGCACATATTTGCAAGGGCATTCACGGACGTGTGTGCACAGGCGCGCGCACACACACACACACACACACACACACACACACACACACACACACACACACACAGACAAAAATTAAAACAAAAAGAAATGCTTCCCAGAAGTCACTCTCACTAATGTGTGGCAATTTTCAGTTTGGCCAACGACCATGTGGATGTAATTCTGTGCGGCAGAACTAAGGACCCACGAGTCTTATCATCTCTTTTATTATTAAGTGTATTTATTTGGGAAAGGACATTCGTGCCACAGGGCCTGTCTGGAAGTCAGAGGACAACTTTCCCAAGGCAGTCTCTCCTCTCACCAGGTTCCAGGGCTCAAACTGGGGTCATCAGATGAGGTAGCAGGCATCTTCCCTGGCCCTGGATCTCACGGTCTTTGGACTCATGGCAGAGAAGGGAAGCCTACCTTGTCTTTATTGATGAATACTAAGTAGCGCTTCTGCAGCTCTAGTGTGGATTTCACCGGGAGCACCTGTGTGTGCTCAATAGGAGACCCATAAGCTGGTCCGAGAAGTGTCTTTCTGGATAGGAGAAAAAACGTGTAAATACCATAAACTTTAAAATATGTTTTAAGACTGGAATTGGTGCTGGGAGGTGGTGACGCACTCGGGAGGCAGAGGCAGGTGGATCTCTGGGAGTTCCAGGACAGTCAGGGGTACACAAAGAAAACCTGTCTTGAAACAAACAAACAAACAAACAAACAAAAACACTGGAATCAGCACTACCATACTTGTGATGTATTATTTGGTGTTTGGGGTTTTGTTCTGGGGTTTTCATCTTGTTTTTGAGACACAGTCTTGCTATGTAGTCCAGGCTGGTCTAGAACTCACAATCCTCCTTGCCTCAGCCTCCTGGTGCTGGGATCGCAGGCGTGCACCATTAACGCTGGACTCCTTGTGTATTTATGATTCTGAATTTCCTGTCTTGTCTGACACTCAGCTAATCCCTACGTCAGAATCTGTCATTCAAGAGGTGCTAGTGTCGGCTGTAAGTGAGGGGCATCACCTCCCAACAGTAAATGCTCTAGGGAAACTTACTGAAGAGCTCTTCCAGGGGCTGTGGTGTGCCTGTCCCTCTTGACACTATGCCCTAAGAAACTATGAGAATCACAGACAAGAAAGAAGCCTGTGAGGAAACGGCATGCCTTGGCAGGATGCAAGCAAGCATCTGATTCCCAGGTCAGGCCCACAGACCGGGAGACACCACCCTCTGTCCTAGTCATCCCTAAATACAGGTCCACGAGCCGCATAGGTCGCCAAATCCACCCGTGCATCAAGTTGTAGTGACTCTGGCCAGGCCTCTTTAATTCAACTTTAAAATTTATTCCACCTTTGTGTTCGTGTGTGGTGGTGTGCACAACTCATGGGAGGTGGTCCTCCCCTTCCATCCCGGGGACTGAACTCAGGTCCTCAGGCTTGGCAGTGGCAGTATTTATCCACAGATCCATCTCACTGGCTCCACTTTTTTTTTTTTTTTAAGATCTTGGTATTTTGCTCAGGCTGGCTTCAAGAGAGCCTCCTGCCCAGCTATAACTGCAGGCACACGCCGCTGTACCCAGCTTGGATTTCTCTAACCCCAGCTGCTTCCCTGAACAGGGGCCTTCCCTAAGGTGAGGTCCCTTTGTGGGATGTCAGTGCTGGTAAGGGTCAGCTGATCCTATCACACCAGCCTCGTGAGAGTTCCTCCTCATGTCAGGCACCAGGTTCATGTCACACAGCAGAAATGTGCAGGTCTAGCCCCTGCCACCGAGGCTATGGGCTAGCAGGGACAGGAGACAGAGAGCTGTTGTGAGCTGGGAAGTGTGGAGACAGCGCTGAGTCCCAGGGTCTGGAGTGAAGCATTCCCGGAGTGGGGGGGCAGCCAGCTGTGATTAGAATGATGGCTCAGAGGCAGCGAGAACAGCTTGGGTAGCAGGAGAATGGGCATCAGGAAGAAATGGTGAAGGCAAGGGTGAATAGTGATGGGAAAATAAATGCTCTAGGAGGCAGAGCAAGGGGACAGAGCAGTGAGCTTTCTCCGTTGGGCTGTGGGAGGCTCAGCTCGCTGGAAACACTACAGCGCCCGCCAGCTAGACAGTGTATCAGCCAATGCTGGCAAGCGGACAGAGGCAGGGGACAGGGGCAAGAGCCCAGGGACAAGGTATGAAAAGACTGGGACCTTTGTCCCTGGTGGTGAGTGGGGGCTGTGGGAACTCCAATCCTAGGGCCATTCAAGAAATTATACACATGTCTGTCTACACTGAAGTGCTCACGAGGATGATAAAATAGAAACAATGCAAATGTCTATCACGGGTGGGCAGGATAGGGCCAACCCTCAGCAGAACAACAAGCACTAGTTCACATCACAAAGGGAGTGAGTAGCGAGAACACGTTAAATGAAAGAAACCAGACACAGGCCACATGCTGTGTAACTCCATCTATAGGAATATGAACTTATACTCACATGTGCAGAGTAGATGAGTTTATAAGACAGGAGCAGATCAGTGGTTTCCAGGCACACAGGGATGCAGGGCTGGGGAGGGTCCACTGATGGGAACCAGAGTTTTCATTTTTGTTTTGCTTTATTCTTTTTTTTCCTTTTTCACGTGGTCCATGCTGACCTCAGACTCACTACATAGCTAAGGATATAGCTCTGAATTTCTGGTCCTCCTGTCTTCACTCCCGAGTGCTGGCACTCCAGGCACCCATGCCTGGCTTAATAGGTACTAGGTATAGAACCCAGGATTTTGTACATGGTAGGCAAGCATTCTACAAAGAGACCAAATCGCCAGCCCAGGAACCAAGTCCCCTTTGGGTGTGACAGATGCTTCTTGAACTGCCCAACTTACTGAAGGTGCTCAGAACAGTTTCTGGAGCAGAGTACATAACCATTAGCCAGTGGCAGTCACCCTGTCTATCAATTTTACAAAATTATTATCTCTTCATTCTGATTGAAAGACAAACACATTCTACAATGCTGAATCCTGTCCCAAGAAAGGCACGGGTGATTGTTTGGCACATCGGACTCACCAAGATTACATGCACATGATTTCATAGGAAGAGAGACTATACTATCCGTGCTTATTTGGAGATTTGCTCTATCTCTTATTACATCTTGGTGACACTGCCATGTTACCGCATAGACAGCTATCTTAGTCTTTTTCCCCATTTGCTAGAAGTGTCATTGTGTTCTGGTGTACAGACATCATTTAACTAACGCCTTATTAATGGACATTTGGCCTGCTTCCATCTCAAACCGTATTTCCATACAAGAGATCCTTTTACTTATGTCTTGGCATAAGTGCACGGGCACCTCTGCAGGCTCCATTCCTAGAAGTCAGAGGGTATAAAATTTAACAGAGGATGACAAATCGCTTTCCCCAAAGGTTACACCAATTTACACTCCGACCAGTGGTTGGACAAGCAAGCCCACTTCCCCACACCCTTGCCAACGCTCAGCACCATCAATCACTTTTATCTTTACTAATCCCATTTGTAAAAAGTGATGTCTCGCTTGCATCTGCCTCATCGGGAGAGGCTGCTGAGCCCCTGCCCCTATGGCTACTGGCCTTCTTCTGTGAGCCACCTTTGTGTCCTCTCAAATGTTTTAAAATGCATTTTACAATTCTTTCTTGACTCTCCAGGAGAAGGCAATGCTTCCCCAACTGAACCGTGATTGCCAGGCTTACTATTTCTCTAACTCAAGAGACGCCTTATGCAAGGGGCTCTTATTTTAGAAGGATAGGAAAGTTCTGGAACTATGGGAGGAGGAAGCAGTTAGACAGTGCTATATATGCCCTTCATTTCTAAATGCTGTATGAATTTAACTTCCAACCTTGCTAAGTTATTTCCTATACTTGAGTTTAGCCAAGAGGCTGAGAAGTGATGGTAGTTTTTTGTTTTTAATTTCATTTTTTGTTACTGTGTGTGTGTTGATGGGCTAGGTGGTGCACACACGCCGTGTGAACAACTTCAGGGTCAGTTCTCCATGCTGGGCTTGTGTGGCAAGTACTTTTTACCCGAGGAGCCATTCCCTCCAGCCTTATACACGATTTTCTTCTTTTTCCAAGACAGGGCTTCTCTGTGGCTCTGGAGGCTGTCCTGGAACTTGCTTTGTAGACCAGGCTGGTCTCAAACTCACAGAGATGCGCCTGCCTCTGCCTCCTGAGTGCTGGGGTTAAAGGCGTTTGTCACCGCCGCCTGGCTATTTTCTTCTTCTTTTAAAAAATAGATTATCTTATTTTATTTAAATGACTTACTTATTTTTATTTATATGCATTGGTGTTTTGCCTACATGTTTGTCTGTGTCAGATTCCCTGGAATTGGAGTTACAGACAGTTGTAGGCTACCACGTGAATGCTGGGAATTGAACACAGGGTTCTTAACCACTGAGCCATCTCTCCAGTCCTTTGCACTATTTTCTTAAACGATGCTTTGAACTAACTTCAGATGGATGATCAAGGGCAAAAACATGAACACACCACACACAGACAGACAGACACACATACACCACACACACACACACCAAACACACACACCACATACACACACACCACACATATACACACACACAACATATAAACACACACTGCATACACACATACCACATACATACACACACACCACATACATACACATACACCACATATATACACACATACACACACACCACATGCATACACACACCATATATATACACACACACCACATACACACACACATACCACATACCACATATATACACACACCCCACATATAAACACACACTGCATACACACACACACCACAGTACCGCTGACTGTCTTCACTGGTGATCACCTGTTAGCAGGAGCTGTAAGCATGCTGTCTCCTACCCTGAATTCAGTTTCTAGGGATGTCCTCTGCTCAGAAGTGTGTGTCCGGTAAAGAGGGAGCATGAAGAGCACGTTGAAGCTCGTTACCCATTCTCTTGAGGATTCTAAACATCGAGACAGATTCTGTTTCCTGTCCTTCCATGTAAGGGCTCTGTCGTTTTCCTTCCTGCCTTCTGGAAAAGAACTGGTCTTGGTTTGGGGTCAGAGGGCAGGAGGAATCCCAGGATTTGAGAGGTTGAGGCAGGGGCCTTACTATAAGTTGGAAGCCAGCCTGAGACACAGAATGAGACAGCATCTCAAAAAGAAAAACAAAACAAAAACAAACCAAAGAGGAAGAGAATCTTGGTGTAGGGGTGCGTCCTGGAGCTTTGGAAATCCCATCTGAGATGTTCTTCAACGTATGAATGTGGCCAAGCATGGTGGCTCATGCCTGCAATCCCAGTATCTGGACTACACAGCAAGACCCTGTCTCAGAAATAAAACCACCAACCCATTAAAACCCTGCTCTTCCTCCAGCAGCCTGGGCACCCTGCTGCTGCTGGCTCCCCCATCAAACACTCCTTCTGCCTCCATCTTCCAGCCATAGCCACTGGCAGCCAATCCCTGGCAGAGAGGCTCGCTCCCCACAGGGTCTAACCCTCTGAGCAGTCCCTAGGAGAGGGCGGAGACACAGCAAGAGCCAAGGGTTGAGTCTTGGCCTGCCTGCCTAATGGTTGCCAGAAATTACCACGCCTCCCCAAACCTCAGAGAGACAGTACTTTATAAGGCTCTGGGAAGCTGAAGGCAGTGGCCCCGTTATAGGGACAGCACTCAAGGGCAGTATCCAAGGTGAGGGAAACCTGGGACCCACGGGTCTTACAGAACCTATGGCCACACCCAAGAGAAGGCCACCTCTGCAGGGAGGAGGATATGCCTCCCAAACGCAACTGTGGGTGCCCTGGGTGTGGTCTGCGACCTCCATCTACCTTTCCCCTTCATGGTCTCCTGCCTCACGGCTTTAATGCCCTCTGCTCTGGACTCCAGTTAGGCCTCCACCCAGAATCAAGAGTCTAAGTCGGTGATCTCATATGTGGTGACATCTCCAACTTGCCTTGTCCAAACCTGGAACTTACTGAACTCAAATCAATCATCCTTCCCTGTCTGTACCCTACCCGTTCAAGGTTAATTCCATTTTTCTGGCTACTTGGGCCTCATAGGCTCTCTCTCTCTCTCACTTAGCTTTTGCTCTCAGCAAACCCAGGGTCTGACCCTTCCCTGCCCGCTTCAGGCCACAGAACAGCCTCCTTCCCGCGCTGCACCCCTCAGCCAGTCACCCGGCGGGCTGTCCTCCTCACCCTCTCCACTCACTCTTCCCCAATTCCACTCCAACCAAGCCCCTTTCTAACAACCTTTTGGACCCCAAGCACCTTCCTTGTTCTTACGGATCCTAACTGTGGGCTTTCCCCAAAATGTCCCATGTCCGGATTTACTTGTGTCTCCCTAAGACAACCCCCCGCCCTGTCACCCTGGTGCTCTTGAAGACAGCAGCCCATCTGTCCCCCCCAGGAGCGCCATCTGGACACCAGTCTTTGCAGTCACTATGCACAGCCCTATCACCCCTGCCCACTTACTAATGTGTTGTCCCCATCACTGAAGTGTCCCCATGGTGGTTTGTAACCACCTTCACTGCCCCGAACACTACCCGGCCCATGTAAGGAATGAACAAATGAATGTGATCAGCCGGACACCAAACTCCTTTGAGAAATCTCGTGAGAAGAATCAAGCATGCTGGGTGTGGTACTCACGCCTGTGATCTCAGGACTCAGGAGGCAGAGGCCAGGACTACAGAGTGAGACCCTCTCTCAAAATAAAAAACAACGGAAATCAAACAATTGGCATGTTTTGTCAAGTGGTTGGTTTGGGGTTTGGTTTGTTTGTTTTTTCTCCCATATGGAAAGGGATGACTAGTTTTGGGACACCAGTGACTTCCAGATTCCAGGGCTGTGTCCTTCAGGGGTACATGGGCACCAAGCACCGGGTCCCTTACCTCCCTGGTGTCTGGGCTTAAAGCAAGGACCCCAGACTGGCATCCTTCCTCAGACATGACCCTACTGTGTGTTTTTGGGAGAGCCTGACTTATGTTATCTGTGACTCAGTGTCTCCCTCTGAGAAGAGAAGGGGGTGATGGTACCAACAAGCCGTTACCAGCTGAGGCTGAGAAATGGAGGTAACCAGCACATTAGTGGGGTGCCCTGGTGCTTACCTGCACATCTTTGTGGTGGAATTGAAGAGTTTCACCTTGTAGCAGCTGTTGCAGATGAGGAGGAACAGCTCCTTGGTGAGCGGAGGGTACCAGATCATGCAGGTGGGGTAGCTCCCCTGGCCTGTTCGATGAATGTCCAGGACTTCCAAGTGGTCTTTGTAGCTCTTGACAAGATTATACTCTATCTGCAGAGGAGCACAGGGGACACATGGTGACCCAGCTTCCTAATACTGTGACCCTTTAAGACAGTTCCTAATGTTGTGGTGATCCCCAACATAAAACTATTTTTGTTGCTTTATCATAGCTGTAATTTTGTTAGTTATGAATCATAATGTAAATATGTGTTTTCCAATGGTCTTAGGCGACCCCCTGGGAATACCCCAAACAGGTTGTGACCCACAGGTTGAGAACTACTGACCCAGCTGGAGGAAAACTTGGCTATATGGTAACCAGCTGGGTCTCTGAGGGAAGTTCCCTGACTCCCGTGAGCTACCTTCACGAAGCCCTCACAGTGACTGGATGCATGGTGGGCTCAGCACCCTAAGCCATCACGCCCGTGGACACCCCAAGTCCCTGCAGTGCTGCGTCTCTTTACACACAGGCCATGAGTCGGCACCGGAGACATTCGGAGTGGCCTGCCCAGGGACACACGCCAAGAAGTGGAGGAGTGAAAACTTAAGTGTAAGCCAAGGGACCCCAAACCTGAACTCTGATGACTTATTAATTTCTGCCACGCCCCTTTCCATTATCTTAGGAACTAACTCAAGCCTAAATCTCGGCATCTGCCGGCCGGCCCTGATGGTACAGATGAAATAAAGAGAAGGCGGCGGCCTGGAGAAAGGAGAGGGAAGGAGGGCGGGGCAGGTGGGAGAGTGGGTTAGGGTTAGATCCCCCACTGCCCCCACAGCTCTCCTTAGTTTTTGTCAACTTGGTGCTAAATAGTTCACCTGGGCAGAAGGACCCTCACTTGAGGAATTGCTGCCATCAGACCGTCCTGAGGCCATGACCATGGTAGGCCTGGGATGCGTGAGAAAGCAGCTGAGCGTGCCATGGAGAGCAAGCCAGCAGACAGCACTCCTCCATGGCCTCTGCTTCCCTAAGCGAGGGACTGTGAGCTACAAGTCAGGTAAATTTTTCTCTTCCCCAAGTTGGTTTTGCTCAGTGTTTTTATCACAGCAACGGGAAGCAATTGGGGATGCCTTCCTGCTGCTCTCTCATGAGTCGTATCCTGACCTCTGGATGCTGAGGAGGTTTCAGTAAGTGTCAGCTTTCCCAGTGCCCTCTGGGAGGTGAAGGCAGCTGTGTCTTCTGTCCCATGTGGGACACACCCTCCCTGCTGCCCACCTGCCGGGAATCCCCGCTTCAGGACATGAGCCATGTAAGCTGTCACCTCAGAGATGCCAACATGGAGAGGTCTGTGACACTCTGCCATACAGTCATTTTTCTTGACATGTTATAGACAGGGTCTGCACACGACGCCAGGGACGGAATGGGCAGGATTGGGGGTGGGGGCAGGCACGACACTGGTCATCAGCAAACCAAACTGGATAGCTCACCAGGAACCTGTCTTTCCCGAGGCTCAGCAGCCTGGGCTCGTTGCTGTCCAGGTGAACCCCAAATAGGAGGCTTCGAATGGTGCTCTGATGAGAGCGGAGTCTCGCCAGGTATTCCCAGACCCTCTGTCCGTTTTTGACCACCACCATATACACGGCCACAGTGAAACTGGCATCCTAGAGGAGCAAGAGCAGAAGCTGTCCCTTGACTTTAGGACCTAAAACTCCTCGGCACGGTTTTCAGACTTGCTGGCCTGCTGAATATCTATCCAAGTAAACCTTAGCACAGCAGAACAAGTAGGAAGAGCAGTGCCCATTCTGCAGACCGGGAGACTGAGGCTACTGGCGTGTGGGTAAAGGTAAAAGGCGAGGGAGCACCACGTGACCAGTCCCGCTCTTCTGCCCATGCTCTGCCACAGCTCCCCAGGGAAAGCCGAGCCCTGAGTCTTTTTACCATTGTCCTCCCTACTCTGTCTAGCTATAAAAAAATAAAAGGTCTGAGCAGGCCAGAGTAGCACAGAGCAACCAGCAGGTAGCTGATGTCCATTCTGGGTGCCGGGACAGCTCTGGTCCTTACCGGTGCTGTGTGTACAAGCCAGGGGCCAGACCGTGTGTGTGGGTGGAATGCCCGAGGGAGGTGGCCGCACGAGGACCTTCCTCTTCCTCCTCCCCCTCCTCCTCCTCCTCCTCCACCCCGCTACCACACCTGACAGAAAGGCAGACCAGGGGACAGCCAGAACCACTTCCCTGGATCACACACCCCAGTCACAGAGGAAAGGAACGGAGCCCGAAACCCTGAGGAAGTACACTGAGATCAGTGAGGAGGCTGCCTTGTCAAAATGAGTGACGATGAAGGATGGGCCAAAGAGACGGGGTCCCAGAAACACGGCAGCCAGCCCCTGGGTCTGCAGAATCCAAGTCTGGCAGTCCTGAGGCCTTGCTCCTGTCTGCCTGGGAATTCCTTCTACCTCACCAACCCTTACCTCTTCCCCTGTGTATCAGAGTTTGGCTGGGACATAAACCCCACTTTCTTCAGACTCCTCACCCCTTTGTTGGTAAGGAAGAGGCCTGAGCAGAGGGAAGGACTCACAGCAGTCGCCATGTACTTGGAGTCGTGCGAAAAGCTGACGTGAGATATGCTAGTTCTGGAATATTTGAAGGGCTCTGGACTTTCATTTTCTAGTGACATCGCATCGAGAATATAAACTGTCCCCTCGGTGAATCCAGCTCCAAGCAGGGCTCCTGAAAAGACAAGCCCAAGGGCAATACGGAAAATGGACTTCCTTTATTCCTGGAGTGAGTCTGCTGCAGGCTTTGCTCAACAACCATGAGCAAAAGGAAAAACCACCACAAGAAAAACCGGAAGAGAGATGCCTTGGGAAGGGCGCTAAGGCATAGCTGTATGCAAGGGACAACTGGCTGGTGACAGCCCAGGGCACAGCCCCTGTTGGGGTCCTGGGACCCGTGAGAGTACGCGTACCTTCGGGGTTGTAGGTCAGACTCTGGACTCCAAGCCCCTTCTCAAAGGCCCTGCTGAACAGATACACCTTCTTTTCATAATCCCACACCTTGATCATCCCACAGACACTCCCGACAGCGATGAGGGGTTGGTACGGGTGGCAGGAGATGGCATACACGGCATCCCTGGGCTCCACAAAGAGCTTCTCAAGTCTGGTACCATCTGCCGTCATGTGGTACACGGTGGCATCAAATGTTCCAATAATAAAATTCCTGTTTGCCAAGGAGAGAGCCGACAGGATCAGTGCTTGCAGGGAACGGCCACACCAGCCACTCTGCTTCTGATTGCACATGAACCGCCTTTGTCGTCTATAATTTGGTGACATTATTAACCCAACATCTCCAAAAATATACCACCAACATCCAACAGCCTCCATTTGCAAGTGAAAAAAGCCCACTTTTCCACATGTAAATTGAGTCATTAAGTATGCAGATGGACAGTCAGTTGTACAATTAGCTAATCTACACATGCAAATATTCATTTGTGTATGCAAATATGGAGTTGGGTGCACACATACAGATGTGCCTGTAAAGACTGCAAGGGTAATTAAGCAGACTCACAGATAATTCAGTCTTAAAATGTTATGGCTATTAATTACCCAATGCCTTTAACCTCAGTGGCTAGGACAGCTCAGCTCCAGAAACAGGGCTACCCTATGGCCAAGGAATCCAGGCACAGAGGAGACGGAGAACTCAAGGATATAGGCATCCAGCTTCCAGTTACTCAGGCTTCTACATAGTAACATCTTTAACTAATTAAAAAAATCTCCAGGCAACACAGAGAAACCCTGTCTGGAAAACAAAACAAAATAAAACCAAGGAGGTGGTGGGTGGTGGTGGTGCACACCTTTAATCCCAGCACTTGAGAGGCAGAGGCAGCCAGATCTCTGTGAGTTCAAGGCCAGCCTGATATACAGAGTGCATTCCAGGATACTCAGGGCTACACTGTGAAACTCTATCTCAAAAACAGAACAAAACAAAAACCAAATTCCAGTACTGATTGTGATCAGCCAAGGAGAGCCACCTGTAAAACTAGGAAGGCAAGCCAGGCGTTGGTGGCGCACGCCTTTAACCCCAGCACTCGGGAGGCAGAGGCAGGCGGATCTCTGTGAGTTCGAGGCCATCCTGGTCTACAAAGCGAGTTCCAGGACAGCCTGCAAAGCCACAGAGAAACCCTGTCTCGAAAAACCAAAAAAAAAAAAACTAGGAAAGCAGCTCTCTCCGTTGTATATCCTAGGAACGAGAGGGCATTCATTGCACTGCCACCCGAGGCACTACACTCACTAAGGACTCACCTGATGACGAAAAGGTCCCCCTTTAAGGTGCAGTCTGTGGGGAGGTTGGACCTCTCTGTGGGTGCACTTGCCAGGGTCTTTGAAAAGGACAGAGTCCTTATGGCACCTAGTTTGAAGGTACTGTACCAGTTGACAACAGACAGGGTGTGATCATAGAACTTAATGTTGCCCTTAATGTCACCTATGACGATGTAGCTGGAACAGAGAAAAACAGGTTATAGAACAGCGCTAATGGCAAAAGCCATTTATCGAGCATCTGATCGTGCCAGGCTGTGGACCACAGGTGTTGCCACGCTCCATTCAACAGTCACCAGTGAGGCTGCTTTCCCTGGCACCCCACTAAAGAGAAGTTAAGAGATTTGCTCAAAGCCTAGAGTTGCCAGATATGGTGGGTGAACTGCACAGCAGGTCCTATTTATCTGAATCTCAGATAAATAATGAATAATCATTTGCTATAAGTATATAACAAACACCACTTACACCTAGCTGGACTCCATGGTCAGAGCACAGAGGAGCCCATTGTGCCTCAAGGAAATGGCATGTTCTCTCAAACACTCTTCTGACTCCAAGGTCAGCCCCTTACTACAGTGGGTGACAATGATTTACAGTCACTGCCATATGACTACCAGATGACAATGGAGGGCAGTCACACAGGCTGAGCAGTGGGACATATTAGAATCATCATAAAGTCGTACTTGGTCATCACAAGCAAAGACAGTGCCGGGTGATAAAATGGCTTTTATTTCTAGTCCTCCAATCCATCCCAAGAGAGCTTTTTTTATTTTTTAAGGCTTAAAAATTCTAATCACAGTGGGAGGAAGAGTGATTTTTCTCGGTATGTTACACAGAGTGATTAAATGAGGTTTCTGATTAATAAGCAAGGCAGGTGGGCAGAGTAATTGGCCAGGAGTGCTTCTACTGCCCTCTGCTGGGGAGAAGCTGCAAAACTTGCCCAGTGTTTGTGGAACCCTTTTCCTTCCCTTGGCTAGTGTTCCTTATTATGGGGAGAGGGGAACCCAGGCCTGGTCGTCAAAGGCTCTAACCCACGGTTAACATGTCTTTCCGCACCTCTGAGATGGTGATTGCATACCAGGATGCCAGGACTGTCCTGCGCCCCGGCACCGAGCAGTGCAGATGAAATGCGCGCAGTGAAGACAGCCTGCACAGCAGCACCAGACACAGGGCAGGTTCTGGACATAAGACATTTTCTCACACTTGGTAGCATTTTACCTAGGGCTCCGTGTGCCAGGCGGCATCCATGAAATCTTCATGAAATGGCTGGGGGATGAGCACAGGTGCCACAAGCGTGCAGGTCAAAGAACAACTTGAGAAGTCGGCTCTCACACCCCCCCCCCCTTTACACAGGCCCCAGGGATTGCACTCAAACTGTCAGGTTTTCCTGACAAGTGCTTTTACTCCAGCCCAAGAGTTGCAGATTCTATGATGATATGCAAGCTGGGGGTGGTAGAACCCGAACAAAAGGATTTCTAGCACTCGGAGGCTGAGGCAGGAAAACCGCAAGTTATGGCCAGCCCCGGGCTACAAAGTGGGACCCTGCCTCACACAGTCAAACGGACAGAAAGTTCAGCTATCTCTGCTCTTTATATAATGTGTAAATGTCATTCAAAACCAAAATGATAAAGCTATCTGGGCCCTCTTTTTTTAAAGATTTATTTATCTTATTTTATGTATGTGAATAGTTTGTTTGCATGTATGTGTATGTATCACCACATACATTCCTGGTAACTGAGGAGGCCAGAAGAGGGCATCAGATCCCCTGGAACTGGAGACAGATGGTTGCGAGCCACCATGCGGGTGCTGGGAATTGAACTCAGGTCCATTGGAAGAGCAGTTAATACTCTTAACCACTGAGCCATCTCTCCGGCCGCCCTGGGCCCTCTTTTAAAGAATTATTTTAGTTTAAAAAAATTTTTTGTGCATGAGTGTCTTGCCTACATGTATGTATGTGTGCCACACGTATGCTTGGTGCCCTCAGAGGTCAGAAGAGAGTGTTGGATCCCCTTGGAAATGGAGTTATGGATGGCTGTGAGACACCATGTGGTGCTGAGACCCAAACTCAGGTCCTCTTTGAGAGTGGCTAGTGTTCTTAGCGGCTGCGCCACCTTTCCAGCCCCTTGAGGTATTGTCTTAAATTTAAAGCATGAAATTTTGGGGGAACAAAACAGGTTTCATTGGCATAGAAGTAAAGGAATCGCTTTTTGTTTCACTAACACAGAAGAATTTTTAAACACAATACGTGCCCATGAGTTTTCTCAAAGTCTAGCAAGGGGTTGGGCATGGTGGTGCATGCCTTTAATTCCAGCACTTCAGGGGGAAGAGGCAAAAGAAGGCAGATCTCTGTGAATTCCAATCTAGCCAGGGCTACTCAATGAGAACCTGCCCATCCCCCCAAAAAAGTAAGAAAGAAAACATATTAAAGTAGAATCCTGTTAGAGGGTGTATCAAGAACCTATTCCTGCCAGGTGGTGGCGCACGCCTTTAATCCCAGCACTCGGGAGGCAGAGGCAGGCAGATCTCTGTGAGTTCGAGGCCAGCATGGTCTACAAGAGCTAGTTCCAGGACAGGCTCCAAAGCTACAGAGAAACCCTGTCTCAAGAACAAACTAAAACAAAAAGAACCCATTCCTATCTTGAACTTCAAAGAGCTCAGTTCTCCTGCTGAGAGACAACTAATATTCTTGTTAGCTCTGACTGTCCCCAGAAACACACTGTGTATCTGTGACTGTGTTTACGAAAAGGGTCTAACAGAGAACGCAGGCACTAAGGAATGCTGAAAACTGGAAGAATTGTCTTCCACATGGTTTGAAAGAACCCCTCAAACATCTATCTAATACCAAGTGTTCAACCCTGAAATTGTAGCACACACAAGCAATATTATACAGACTGCGTAGATTGTATCTATCTATCTATTTTTTTTTTTTTTTTTGGTTTTTCGAGACAGGGTTTCTCTGTATTGTTTTGGAGACTTTCCTGGAATTAACTCTGTAGACCAGGCTGGCCTCGAACTCACAGAGATCCGCCTGCCTCTGCCTCCCAAGTGCTGGGATTAAAGGCGTGCGCCACCAACGCCCGGCGATTGTATCTATTTATTTAGGAATATATATACATATATATGTGTATATATATATAGTGTATAATATGTAACAACGATTTAAGAAAAGAGATCATGAATTGGAGAAAGGGTAATGGGGTACATGGGAAGGGTTAGAGGGGAAAAGATGTAATTATATTTTAATTACAAATATATGTGTGTATAAAACAGAGGCCTACATGTGTGATCACAGTGGGATCCCCTGTAATCGGGCTCCTTACCTATCGACTGTGGTGAGGACGGTGATGCCTTCCTTCTGTAGATGGACCAATTTACAAGGCTTGATGAAGGGAAGAGCCAACGTGGAGGAGGAGGAAGGCGGGTAGTGGATGTCCCAGACAACCAGCTTCCCTTCCTTTGTGGCTGACAGTATTTGTGATAACTTCAAGTGAAAGACGGATTGGCTAAATTTTCCCACAAGTTTGTTGAATGTCTGTGTTTCAAAGACAGGTTATAAGTTACAGCTGGGGGCAGGGTGGGGGAGACCAAAACATGTTTCAGTGCGGCATTTTATGACATAGCATGAAATACAGTGAGACAAAGAAGAAATGCCTGGAAGCCCACTGGTAGACTGTTGACCCTCCGCAGGTTTGCTGAAGGTTATGTGCTGTGCTCAGTGACACGGATTAACTCGGCCAATGAGTGACTAATCACTGCTGACACCTGCCCAGCTTCGCTCATGGAGGCTGTTAAACGCAGTCTGTCATGGGCAAGAGCGAGCTTTGGGTGAAAAATATAAAGTAATTACCCTGCTGTCTCATCAGAAGACAGTATTTCAGGCTTAACATGAGAATACTCTGGTAAGACCTCTTTTGCTTTGGGAAATAAAGCATTTGCCATCTTTCTTACACAAAGTTTCAGAGAGGAAAGAGTTGGAGAGACAGCGCACACTGCTCTTCCAGAGGACTGGTTTCCGACACCGTTTGGGCAGCTCACAACAACCTGTGAGTTCAGCTGCCGGGAATCCAATACCTGGTCTCCAAGGGCACCAACACTCACAGCACAAAACCCCACTGCCACATACACTTAATGTTAAAATAAAAACTTTCAAAATGTAGAAAAAGACATGAGCTGTGATGAAGCCCTTCAGTGAATTTATGGAGGGAAGGAGAGAAGGAGGGAGGGAGGGAAGGAAGGAAGGAAGGAAGGAAGGAAGGAAGGAAGGAAGGAAGGAGGGAGGGAGGGAGGGAGGGAGGGAGGGAGGGAAGGAAGGAAGGAAGGAAGGAAGGAAGGAAGGAAGGAAGGAGGGAGGGAGGGAGGGAGGGAAGGTGGGAGGGAGGGAGGGAGGGAGGGAGGGAGGGAAGGAAGGAAGGAAGGAAGGAAACTCAGCAATCTATCACATAACAAGGCAAACCAGCTGCCCATTGCCCTCCTAGAAGATCCTAGGCTTACATCACAGTTATGGTTTCTGCCCTCCTAGAAGATCCTAGGCTTACACCACAGTTATGGTTTCTGCTGCTGTGATGGAACACCATGACTAAAGCAATGGGGGAGGGCGGGGTTTAATTGGCTCACACTTCCATGTCATAGTCCATCACTGAAGGAAGTCAGGACAGGAACCCAAGCAGGGCAGGAAGCTGGAGGCAGGAGCTGGACGCAGAGGCCATGGAGGGATGCTGCTCACTGGCGTGCTCCCCATGGCTTGCTTCTGCTTTCTTATAAAACCCAGGACCACCAAGTCCAGTGGTGGCAACTACCTACCATGGGCCTGGGCCCTGCCCACAACAATCACTAATTAAAAGATGTGCTGGGTGGTGGACGTCCACGCCTTTAACCCCAGTACTTGGAAAGGAGAGGCAGGTGGATCTCTGTGAGTTTGAAGACAGCCTGGTCTACAGAGCGAGTTCCAGGACACTAGGGCTGTTACACAGAGAAACCCTGTCTTGAAAAACAAAAAGAAAAAAGAAGGAAAGAAGAAAAAAGAGAAAGGAAAGAAAAAGAAAGTGCCTTACAGCTGGATTGTATGGAGGCATTTTCTGAACTGTTTCCCTCCTTTTAGACAAATGGTAGACAAGCACCGTACCAACTGAGATATATCCTCAGCCCTCAGTGTTGCTGGGATTCTCTTTATTTAGTTTTGTTTGAGATACTGTGTGGTCCTGGCTGGTTGGGATTTGCTATGTAGACCAGGCTGGCCTCGAACTCACAGAGATCCGCCTGCCTCTGCCTCCCAAGGCACGTGCCATCACACCTGGCCCTCAATGTTACATCTAAAAAATATCTTTGAAGCAGGATCCTACACAAAACATGGTACAGGCTTACAGACCTAAGGAGCAATGGTTCACTACTTTCTAACTCATTATTCACAGGGACTTTATAAGACATGACCACCAGTAGTCATGACCACTGACCACATTTCTTACCTTTTCATTCAGGAAAACAAAGTCTGCAGGCAGAGGGGTGTTTTTGTTTGGCTGGTTGGTTGGTTTATAGTCCTGGGGATGGAACCCAGGAAAAACCATCTTTCCTTGTGTCCATTTGTTTCAACTTTATATTTTTGCTTTGGCGTGCCCACTGTCATACTTCTAACACCTATTCTTATTATACACATTACAAAATCTACCCATCCTCTGGATATTTTCTCATTATTGTTATCCAGGCAAGCCTGGCCCCACCCCCTGGGGACCCGGTAAAGTGTGCCACCTCTGTGCGTGGCAAGCAGCACCCTGGCTCTGGATGCAGGTGCAGAGGTCCCTTTAAGAGGCAAGCTCCACCCACTTCCTCAATCGCTTTCTGTCATTCTCTGAGGAGACAGCTGTCTGCCTCTCACTATCTCTTCCTCTCTCTTCTCTCTTTCCTTCCCTTACTCCCTTCCCTTCCCCGGATAAACTTTACACATAAGTCATGTCTGCAGGTCTCTGGCTGTCTCCCACCTATCATGGGACCCTTCCAAGGTCCCCCTTTGTATTATTACATCTTTTTCCATAACATTTTATTTTATTTTATGATACTTCTGTTATTTTTAGCAAGACGATTCATTATGGATAGAGGATCCAAGCCAAAAAAAAAAAGTTCAAATTATTTCCCAGTGGCTTCACATGAAGGCCCAGCCCACACCCACTAGGTCTGCACAGTGTATTTACCCTTCACAGTATCTGAAATGAAAATATAACAGGAATACTCACTTTCTCTGTTAAAACTGGGGCACTGTGAGCAAGGATACCCTTCTCTTCAAACTGAAAAGCACAGAAAAAGACATTACTATTTAAAGACTAAGCTGCCAAAACAGCCCCATGTGCTAGCTAACCCAAAGCAAACGCACCCAAATGGGTTTGGAGGGGAGCAGTTCCTATAGGAAGAACACCTGTCACCTGGGGATATCTAAAAACATTCGAAAAGAAACGCAAATCTTTGTAAGAGCCAGGCGTGACTGTGCCTCTGCACGGTGGTTACTGCAGAGCTGGGCTCTACACTAATGAGGCTTTCAAAGGAAAATTAACACCCAAAGCAGTAAACACACTGACAGGCAGCTTTTCAGCAAGTCTTTGGCTTTGTTTTGCTTTTTTTTTTTCCAGGCAAGTGTATTTTCTTGGGTGTCCATGTCAGTGGCATGTGTGATACTCACAATGTCATGTCATGTCAGTGGCATGTGTGATACTCACAATGTCATGTCATGTCAGTGGCATGTGTGATACTCACAATGTCATGTCAGTGGCATGTGTGATACTCACAACGACCGTTCCTGTCATGCCAGGGAGACCTGCTCTGCTCAGCCTTTGACTGCCAAGAATCTACTCCCTGTCTCTGTGGACTTACCTGATCCCACATTCCATACAAATGGAAGCATTTACCATTCGCTTTACAACCAAATGGTGTGGCTTCCAGTTTGTTTGTTTGGTTGGTTGGTTGATTGGCTGGTTTTCCGAGACAGGGTTTCTCTGTGTAGCCCTGGCTGTCCTGGAACTCACTCTATAGACCAGGTTGACCTTGAACTCAGAGATCCACCTGCCTCTGCCTCCTGAGTGCTGGAATTAAAGGCTACGGTGTGGCTTCTTCTTTGTCTTTATTTTTTACTTCTTTTCCTTTTTTAGAGCACACTGGTCTCAAACTCATACAGATGCCCCTGCCTTAGCCTCTCAATTCTAGGATAATGGCTTATACTACTACATCTAGCTTGCCTTTTTTTTTTTTTTTTTTTTTTTTGAGACAGGGTTTCTCTGTATTGTTTTGGAGGCTGTCCTGGAACTCTCTCTGTAGACCAGGCTGGCCTCGAACTCACAGAGATCCACCTGCCTCTGCCTCCCGAGTGCTGGGATTAAAGGCATGCACCACCACCACCCGGCTCCAGCATGGCATTTTATTTATTTGTGTGTGTGTGTGTGTATGGATACATGTGCCATGGCATGTGTATGGAGGTCAGAGGACAACTTTGTGGAGTTGGTTCTCTCCTTCCAACTTTACAGGGATTCTGGGAATGGAACTCCCTCGGGTCATCAGATGTGGCCGCAGGCACCTTTACCCCACTGAGCCATCCGAGCATCAGCTTCTCTCTTGCTCATCCACATCACAGCAGGCATGAGCGCTACTCACTGTGTGGCCGGACCACACTTCGCCCGCGTGTTCATCAGCTGATAGACACTGAGGTCTGGCTGCCGGCCATTTCTTTTCATGCTATTTGCTTGGTTTTTGAGACAGGGTCTCTCTGTGAGGTACTGGCTGTTCTAGAGCTAGCCATGAGACCTTGCTGGCCTCGAACTCACAGAGATCCTCTTGCCTCTGTTACTCTAGTGCTGGAATTAAAGATGTGCACACCAAACATTTTGGTTGTTAGTAGTGCTGCTGCAATGACTGTAGTTCTGTAAGGTAAACACTTAGGAACTGAGTCACAGTATGTCTGTGTTCCAATGGGGCTGTCTGGGTGTTTCTTTAATCTCATTAAATAAATACATGACATAAAATGGAGGGGAGACCTGTTGTGGTGCCTAGGGGAGTAGATGGAGAAGTTGGAGGCTCCTGAAGGGAATGGAGGGAAGAGTGGGGACTCCTGAAGGGATTGGAGGGAAGAGTTAGGGCTCCTGAGGGCAGATGGAGAGGGGGCCGGGGCGCACATGGTTAAGATGCATTGTTACATGGATGAAGCTTTCAAATAATACAGCACTCGGGAGGCAGAGGCAGTCGGTTCTCTGTGAGTTCCAGGCCAGCCTGGTCTACAAGAGCTATTTCCAGGACAGCCTCCAAAGCCACAGAGAAATCCCTGTCTCGAAAAACAAAAACAAAAAACTTCCTTTCTGAGCCAGGCGGTGGCGGTGCATGCCTTTAATCCCAGCACTTGGGAGACAGAGGGAGGCAGATCTCATAGTTCAAGGCGAACCTGGTCTAGAGTGAGTTCCAGGACAGCCAGGGCTATATAGGGAAATCCTGTGTCAAAAAAAAATTCTTTCTGAAATTTGGAATAGGGTTCAAGGTGTCAAACAAAGAAACAAAGAAACAAACAAAAAAACCAAACAAAACCCCATCTTTTAGACCTATTAAATATAGTCAAATAAATATTTGCCTCATTACTTTAAAAAATTAAATGAAGTTTAATTATCTGATTCTAACTTAATATGCTAATTTCCAATGAGACTAGAATAAATGCCACAATTAAATCAAAATGTTTACATATATGCTCATTGTTTCCTAAGAGGATGCCCTATTGTTATACTATGGAATATCTGCAATCAAAACTACGCATGCGTTTCCAAGCACAGTTTGAGACAGCGCTGCCTCCACTCACCCAGTGATAGTAGACCGCCTGTGTCTGGCTGTTGCTCACCATTTCTTTATTGTTCACTGGGTTAAAGGTGAGGTGACTCTGACGCAGAAAGAATGAAAATGTGTTACACTTAAGTAACAATTTTAATTAAAATAAATAACTGAGGCTGGGCTTCCAGCACTAGGAGGCAGAGGCAGGCGGATCTCTGTGAGTTCCAGACCAGCCTGGTCTACAGAGCGAGTTCCAAGACAGCCTCCAAAACAATACAGAGAAACCCTGTCTCGAAAAACTAAATAAATAAATGAGTAGGGATATACATAAAAATGCAAAAGACTTGGAACCTGGGAAACAAAAAGAAGAGCATTTAAAGCTGTAAAGTGAATAGTGTAAGATGTGTTCCTTTTACAAGTTTTAGTTATTACAAGTCATCCATGTGCAGCAAAGAATAAACTATATTCACCATTTAGTTTCTCATTTATTCTTTTCCCCCCGTTGGGCAATGAACCCAGGGTGTCACACAGCTAAGCATGTACTCAGTCTCTGCCCCATCACTAATAATCTTTGTTCTGTGCTCTTTTAGACAAAGGCCCACGAATGCATGCTTCTGAGACTGACAGGGCCACAAGCGATCTTGGAATGAATATGCAGCTTTGGGAGGGAATTCTGATTCCTGCCAAGACAGTATGGTGTGAGTTGTTGGCGCCCTTCCCAAAAATCAACTCTGCAGAAACCGAAGGGAGGGAAACGTTAAATGCAGAAACCAAACAATAACCACAACTACCAACGCGGAAAACCCCAGGGAATGGAAGGTAAGAGCTGGGGGCTGCAGCCTGGGATGCTGGAGGCAGAGAGGCCTTGCACGAGCTGAAGTGGAGCAAACTGTTTCTGCCGCACTCCTGCCACTTCCCCCACCTCCAGCCCTATTCCTTGCCAGCCGCTCTCCCTATCGGTGCAATGTCAATGTGAACCGCCAATGCTGTGTTAGACTCGCAGGGCAGCACACAGGCCTGGAGGTGATGCAGATTGATGGAGGTGCTTGGACCAGACCTCCCCACAGCTGAAAACAAGCCTTCAACTGGGACACTTTCTAGTTAAAGTGCTTTTTCTGCCAAGGAAGTTATCTACTGAACTGCAAATAACTTCTTTTTTTTGTTGTTTGTTTGTTTTATTTTTCGAAACAGGGTTTCTCCATGACTTTGGAGGCTGTCCTGGAACTAGCTCTTGTAGACCAGGCTGGTATCGAAATCACAGAGATCTGCCTGCCTCTGCCTCCCGAGTGTTGGGATTGAAGGCATGCACCACCAACGCCCAGCTCCTTTTTTCTTTTTCTTTTCCCCTGAGGTAGGGGGCGCACTCTGCAGACTAGGATGGCCTGGAACTCACTGAGATCCACCTGCCATTGTCTCCCATGTGCCAGGATTAAAGGTTTTCAGATTGGCCATCATTTAGGGAAAATAGCCTTCAAAAATAAAGAAAATGGCTGGGCGTTGGTAGTGCACACCTTTAATCCTAGCACTCGGGAGGCAGAGGCAGACGGATCTCTGTGAGTTCGAGGCCAGCCTGGTCTACCGAGCGAGTTCCAGGACAGAGTCCAAAACAATACAGAGAACCCTGTCTCGGGGAAAAAAAAAATCTGTGACCAAAGTAAACTGAGTGAAAGAAAAAATGGAACTGGCCAGATGGCTCAGTGGGTAAAGGTGTCCGGTACTTACTATGCAAGCCTGACACCCTGAGTTCGATCCCCGAAACCTACGTAATGGTGGACAATGAGTACACTGACTCCACAGAGTTGTCTTCTGACTTCTACACATACAACTCCCCAAACACACATGCACATAACAGTAATCATTATGAAATTAAACGTTAAGAAGCCAAAACTTTCTGGGTGGGTGGCAGTGTTGAAAAAAAAAAGAAAGGGAGAGAGAAGGTGAGCTTCAAAATAGAGGATGAGAGCTCTTCTAGGTTTAATTTTTTTTTGTATTATGGGTGATGTGTGAGCGCGGGCCCTCACATGGAGGTCAGAGGAGAGTGAGATCGCTCCCTCAGCCGTGAGTTCCCGAGTCTGACTCAGGCCATCAGGTTTGTGTTGTAGCTGCTCTTACCTACTGAGCCATCTTTCCAGCGCCCTTCTAGAAGTTATATGGGAAGAGGAGTATGTGGTTTGAAAGAAAATGGTCCCCTAAAGGGTGTGGCACTAATAGGAGGTGTGGCCTTGTTGGAGGAAGTGTGCCACTGTGGGGGCAGGCTTTGAGGACTCTTTTGCTTAAGCTTCCCTTGGTGTTACTGACAGTCAACTTCCCGCTGCCTTCTGCTCAGGACGTAGCCAGCGCCGCATCTGTCTGCACACTGCCATGCTCCCCAACATGGTGGAAAGGGACTGAGCCTCTGGAAGTGTGAGTGAGCCACCACAATTAAATGTTTTCTTTGCAAGAGTTGTCGTGGTCATGCAGTCTCTTCACAGCAGTTAAAAAAACAAAACAAAACAAAAACCCTAACTAAGGACAGAGGGCAAAAGCTGGAAGGGGCTGCAGTGTCCACAGGAGTCTGTTGGAGACCAGCAATGCCATCTGCTCTGTACTGGTTCAGGGTTAAGGAGAGGCAGCGTGGAGGGCCCCAAGAGGAAATACCCAGAGGAGACTGAGGGATCTGGTGAGCTAGCCCTCCTTGGGGCAGTTAGTTAGAGGGGGAGGGGAAAACACTATGGGGTTGGAGGCAGACTGGAGCCTTTGGAGTGGGAACAAGCTAGTGTTTGCCCCTGGTGACCCCTACCCTCTCAACGACATATGAGGAATGTTGTCAGCGGTCAGCCATAGGAAGGTAGAAATGACAACAGCCCACTGGACTAACCGAGGCTGGGGAGAACTTGAAATGTGGCTGGTAAAGCTGGAGAACCAAACTTGTCATTTGATTTCATTGTAATCAATTTAAATTTAAATAGTGCATTTGGCAAAGTTGCAGGACATAAAACTAAGTGGCAGAATCCAGCTGTGTTTCTATGCAGCAGCCATGAACAACCTGAAAGGGGGAATTAGGGAAGTGATTCTACTTTCAAAAGCACCAGAAAGAGGGAAAAAATATGCAGGAATAAATTTAACTCAGGAGTCGAAAAAAGACTGGTACACGAGAAATTACAAAGCACTGCCCAAAAAAGAACCAAAGACAGCATAAACAAGCAGTGTGACACCTGGTGCTCTGGGACTGGAAAACAATATAATTAAGATGACAATACTTTACACAGTGATCTATGGACTCAGTGGGCAGAAAGTCCTAAAGGCATTTTGTACAGAAACAAACAAAAAAAAACCTGAAGCCAACTGTAGCAGCACACACCTGTAATCCCTGCACTTGGGAGGCCAAGACTCGAAACCACTTTGTGTTCAAGGCTACCTAGCTATATATCCAGGACTTGTCTCAAAAATGTCAAGCCTGGGACTGGTGTCCTAGTTTGCTTTCCGTTGCTGTGATGCGACACTGATCAAAAGCAGAGAGGGCTTGATTGAGGGAAGCCAGAGTGAGGACACAGGAGGAATCAGAGACTACAGGGGAATGCTGGTCACTGCCTTGTTCTTCATGGCTTGCTTTCTTACACAGTTCAGGCACACTGTCCATGGATGTCACTGCCCAGTGGGCTGAGCCCTCCCACATTAATTAGCATTTAAGAAAATGTCTCTCTTTTCCACAGGCCAATGTAATGGAGGCAATTCCTCAATTTGGAGTCCCCGTTCCCAGATATGTCTAAAGAAAGAGCACACAGAGATAGCTCTGTCGTTAAAGGCGCTTGTCACACAAGCCTGAGGACAAAAGTTGGGATCTCCAGAACCTATGTAAATGTTGGGTGAGCACGGTGGCCTGCCTGTGTGTAATCCCAGTCTCAGAAGGCACAGATGGGGGAATCCCCAGAGAGCTGGCTAGCAAGACTAACCCAATCAGTTGGCTTTGGGTTTGATTGAGAGATCTTGCCTCAGTGAGTAAGGTGGGAGGGTAATTCCAAACAAAAACCCTTGTGGCCTCCACATATGCACGTGCACACACATATGCGCGCGCACAAACACACACACACCACATATGGCTGGCTGTTGGATCAGTGCAAACTTTAAAAATAGAAGCATTTATTTTTCTGAGTGATTGACAGGATAGTGGCGGTGGGGCAGCTGGGCCTGTGACTGCATCAGGGTCTGAGCCTCGCTGAGTTAGTCACTCAATACTCTGGGTTTCAGGTCCCGTGACCCAGGTATCAGAGTCAGGTGCACACCAGTCCTCTCTATGCTTACTGGAGGAAGAACGAGAAAACGAGAAGCAGAGAGCAGTGCAGTGGACACAGAGAGACCTGACGTGAGCACTTGGGGTGTCCTAGACAAGCCTTCTTAGGCAAGCTGACAACTACGTGTCCATGTACCTCACCGTCTCACTGCGAGGTCAGAAGCAGCCGAGCACCTGCTTCTGGAATAAGGAAGGCTGCAGGCAGTGTGGCTTTAGATGGATTATTTAATAATTAATAGTGACAGTCTACAGACATTAATAACTCTGCACCTGCATATTTGTGTAGATTATGGGAGATAACAGAAGTAAAGAACTGAGCAGAATCTAGGACGTAGCAAGTGTGTCAAACACATTAGCTGTTATTAGGAAGGATAAAGTGAGATCTGGACTAGGAAAGTGTTGTTCAAAGGCCCTTCTGCACCATTACAAAACCCCTCTAACACAAGAGCCCCCAGGGGGCAGCCTCAGTGTCAGCACAGGCTGGCAGTCACAGGCTCAAACACAACGCACCTGGAGACCATACTCTTTGGGAAGGTCGAGAGTGCATGCAGGTGTCTCCACTGCCAAAGTCCACTTCCAGATGCACACTTTCTGCAAGAAAGAGCACAGTGGAGGACATAAGAGGCTCTGGAGCATGCAAGGAGAAGCCCACGGCTATGGAAACCCTGAGGACTCAGGTAACTTTGAGAAGGACTGTTGAGTCCTAAGCATGCCCCCGCCCCTGTACTGTGAAGTCTGCTCATCCTGGAACAACACACACACACACACATATAGCCTGTGCAGAGGTGGCTGCAAAGACATCTGGCAATGTTGGCCAGCTCAGAGAGGTCTACCCAAAGGACACTTTACCTGGACTTCAGCATCTGAGATGGTAGCCAGAAACTTGGAGTCACGGGAGATAGTTATGGACCTTATGCCATTACCTTCCGGACAGCTGTCAAATATGGTGTGCACAGGGATTCTGAAAAACAGGACAGACAGGGACGGGCCTTGCCCAAGGATGCCTGGCTTCCCAGTGAGGCTGTGACAAGGCTGAACACCTTCCAAAAACATAAAAAAGTATGATCTGTCTATGCAAAGAATATTCATGTCTAATTAACATCTGTGTCCAAATAATTTATCTTCTTATTTTCATTTATCATGTATTTAAGATTTTATTTATCATGTATACAGTGTTCTATCTGCATGTATGCCTGCAGACCAGAAGAAGGCATCAGATTCCATCATAGATGGTTGTGAGTAACCATGTGGTTGCTGGGAATTGAACTCAGGATCTCTGGAAGAACAGTCAATGCTCTTAACCTTTGAGCCATCTCTTCAGCCCTTGGCTTTTTGTTTGTTTGTTTGTTTGTTTGTTTTGATACAGAGTTTCTCTGTGTGGCCCTGACTGACCTAGAACTCCTCTGTAGGCCGAAGTGCCACCACTACCCAGCAGTTAATTTTTGTAGTATTTATTTTATTTTAAAATTATGTGTATATGTGCACAGATATGTGCATGTGACTGGCCTGTGGAGGCCAAAAGAGGGCATTGGATGCCAAAAAGCTGAAGTTACAAGCAGGTGAACTGCCAGGTATGGATGCTAAGAACTGAAGCCAGCAAGAGTAGCCAACCTTGCTGGGCGTTGGTGGCCCACGCCTTTAATCCCAGCACTTGGGAGGCAGAGGCAGGTGGATCTCTGTGAGTTCGAGGCCAGCCTGGTCTACAAGAGCTAGTTCCAGGACAACCTCCAAAGCCACAGAGAAACCCTGTCTCGAAAAAAAAAAAAAAAAAAAAAAAAAGAGTAGCCAACCTCTTAATGGCTAAGTCATCTCACCAGCTGCCAGCCCCACCCCACCCCTTTTTATCGGCAGGGTCTTGCTCTGGGGCTGGCCCCAAAATTCTGATCCTCCTGAGTTCTGGGGTTACAGCTATCAGCTAGTAGGCAAGTTGAATTAATTCATTTTTATTCATTAATAATACATGAGCAAACCGTCATTATTATTCATTCTTCCACAAAGAGAAAAGACGAGTTGACACATGCCACAACACAGACACACCCTGAGAACGTGACACTAGTGCAAAAGCCAGACACAAAAGCTCACATACACGCACCCACAGATAGGAAATGTACCGACTGAGCAGAAAACACACTGGAGACTGCCTCGGGGAGGGGACATGCAGAGCCAATGCCCCTGGGGGACGATTAAAACTGTTTGCAGCAAGGTAAAGATGGTGCTTGTGCAACCCTGTGACTAAGTGCCAACCCTCACTGTGCTTTCGTGTGTCCTGTTTTACGTTATTTAACTTTATCTCCATAAGAACAGTAGGCCTCACTGGGAGCAGGAGCAGCAGGGTGAGTGCACTGTGTGCTGTCTTCAGGGGCACTCGGGTGGTTCAGTCATTGATCCTGGTGCTGATTCTATGCAGGGCACTTTTGCCAGACATGTCCACAAAGACCTGGCTATCAGCTCAGAGACTTTGGGGAAGTGATTGAGTCCTGAAGGCTTATCAATAAGTTAATTCCCTGAATGGATTCGCAGGGTGATGGCATTACTCGGTGACAGTAGGGCAGGGAGATAGCTCAGTGGAAGCCCTTGCCATGCGGGCAGGAGGACCAGAGTTTGGGTCCCCAGATCGTTTGTGTAAACGCTGAAGGGGTGTGGTGGCCCATCTGTTCGTCTAATGCTTAGAAAGCAGAGACAGGGATCCCCAGAGCAAGCTGGCTGGCTAGACTAGCCAAATCGACAAACTGGGTTCAACTGAAAGCCCCTATGTCAGTGAATAAGGTAGACAGCAATAGAAGATGACTCCACAAAGTCAACCTCTGGCCACAAATGTGTGTGCGCATGTGCGCATACACTCTCACATTCATATGGGGGAGTAGGAAGTGAGGTCTTGTTTAAGGAAATAGTCACTGAGTCATGTCCCAGAGAGATAGCTTGGCCCAGCCCCTTCCTGTATGTTTCCTGGTAATGTGAGGTGAGCTGCTTTGCTCCAGGGCAGTACTGTGACTTTCAGTCGCCATGCTCTACCTCCCAACAGACTGGGGAAAGGATGCTTACCACCAAACCTGATGACCCCACGTGAACCCCCACAAGCTGTCTCCTGACCTCCATGATTGAGTCATGGCATACCGGTGCCTCCCCGATAAATGAATGTGATAAAAATAAATGTTTTAAAAAGCAATTGCTGGAGCCGGGCGTTGGTGGCACACGCCTTTAATCCCAGCACTCGGGAGGCAGAGGCAGGCGGATCTCTGTGAGTTCGAGACCAGCCTGGACTACCAAGCCAGTTCCAGGACAGCCTCCAAAGCCACAGAGAAACCCTGTCTCGAAAAACCAAAAAAAAAAAAAAAAAAAAAAAAAAGAAAAGAAACCCCCCCCCAAAAAAAAAGCAATTGCTGGTAGACAGGGGATTAAAACATTCTTCTTTAGTTATCTTGTTTTGTCCTTATCTGTATGGCTGTTTTCTCTTACAATATATCAGTGCACCACACGAGAGCCTGGCACCCACAGAGGTCAGAAGAGGGCACTGGATCCCCTGGAACTACAGACACAGACAGCTGTGAGCCGCCACGAGGGTGCCAGGAACCGACCTGAGTCCTCTGGAAGAGCAGGGCTCAGACCCACCGAACCCTCTCTCCAGACCACAATTAAAACATTTTTTAAATAAGGTTTGAGCTGAATAAGTGACCAAAACATGTGAAAGAAATCCAAGAGCAAACAGGCAAAGGCAGCCTGCTCCCTCGGGTGGGCATGCCTACTCCTTCAGACACATAAGACCTAGAACACATTCCCAACTATACGTAGTTCTGGTTTGGAAACCGGGTTTGAGTGAGTGGACATTTTCCTGTTTTCACTTACACGCTCCTACTCTGTGATCCTGCTGAGACTTCACAACAGTGAAGTTCATTCAAAGCCTTGACACACACAGAATTCAATTAGGTGGCATGTAAACTCCAGTGGGAGCCATGAACACAAGAGACAGTAGGAGAAAGTATGTGGGGTTGGGAGGCCAATGGCTTAAACTGGGAGGAGGGGCCAAGTGGCAGCAAGACTGTGGGCCATGTGGCGTCCCATGTTTCCTTGCTACAGAGCCCCTGTTACAGCCACTATGAACAGTCCCCTGTGTGTCACAGCAGTGACAGTTGGCTGGGACAAAGTCTGTGCTCCCATTGAAGGACACTGGTTCTCTGTCATTTGAGAAGCGGCGGCTAACTAAAATGCAGCCCCTGACATTCACGCGGCAGCCCTCACAGCGTTGGGAATGGGAGCCCACAGTTCACAGGGGGCGAATGGATCTCAGCCCTTGTAAGTAATGAATGGAACATCCAACGTGACCCTGAGGGAAAACTGATCCATGCGAGAGGATGTCCACAATAATCTATCCACAGAAGGGGCATCATCAGCTGTGTCTCCTCTTGAAAGCCTCTGTGGACAGTTGCCTTCATGGCAAGACCCAATATGACCCACCAGTGCTTTCTTGTTTATGACATGGGCTAGACTCTGAGGTTTTTTGTTTGTTTGTTTGTTTGTTTGTTTTGTTTTTCCTTGAACAGTCTCACCATGTAGCCCGGCTTGGTGCTGTGGAATAAACTCTTTGTAAACTGATTTGTCACTCGGATTGATTTAATGAAAAGCTGAGCCACCAACAGCTAGGCAGAGCTTTGGGGCAGAGAGGACATAGGGAAGAAGGGTGGAGTCGACAGCCAACTGGAGGGGAAACAGGAGAGGAACATGACCTGCTGAGAAAAGGCGCTGCCACGTGGCAGAACAGTTTAAGATGTAAGAGTTAGTTACAAGCCTAAGCTACCAGCTGAGTGTCTGTGGTTAATAAGTCTCTGTGTGGTTATTTGGGAGACAGCTGGCGGGACAGAGAAAGTCTGCCTAGCTTGGTGCCTGGTTGGAGCTTTATGATACCCAACCTGATAAAATGGCCCATAAAAGATTATTCAGAGGCTGTTTTTGGTCTTAGAATTAATATTCTCTTTATTTATTTATTTATTTATTTATTTTTGGTTTTTCAAGACAAGGTTTCTCTGTGGCTTTGGAGGCTGTCCTGGAACTCGCTCTGTAGACCAGGCTGGTCTCGAACTCACAGAGATCCGCCTGCCTCTGCCTCCCGAGTGCTGGGATTAAAGGCGTGCACCACCAACGCCCGGCTAATAGTCTCTTTATTAAAGTGGCAAATTAAAGGAAAACATTGTTTTCCCTTAAGGTTTCTGTTCAACTTAAAAGTCTTACTCAGGGCTAGGGCCCTAGCGCAGTGACAGACTGACTACCCTGACTACCCGCAGAGCAGTGTGTGACCCCAGGCTCAGACTTACTACGGCAGCCACAACCACAGCAAAAGATCAGCCAACTGGGGCGCCAAACATGGCCCGGCAGCTGGGGGCCGAGACAGGAGGATCCTGAGCGTTAGGCCAATCTGGGCTACACAGTGAATTCCAGGTCACCCTAGACTACCCAGGAGGCCACTGTTTCAAAACAGATCCTGCTCGTTTCATAAACGTAGCATGTTTTTGCAGTCACCTTTGTGCAACTTGAATTAATGTATCCAAATTTGGCTATTAACTTTAAAAAATTTTAAGCTGGGTGCAGAAATGTAATATATTCAGTTTTATGGTTAAGTTTCTTGTGGTCTAATTAAGAAACAAATTTTTCAACAATACTGAATTGCTATAAATCTAATAAATTTATCCATAAATATGGTAAACCTTAAGCTTTCCCAAGTATTTCTAACACTGTTTATAAAGATAAAATGATTTCTATTTAAAATTGGAAGCCTAAGTCAGCCACATATTTTCAATTAGAATTGCAAATCTAAAAAGCTAAAAACCCTGCTACATCCAGTTCTCTTAAACTTTATACAGCCCTAAAGTTGTGAACACGTTTCTGAGTCATACTCATGTTAATACTACAAATCCGGGTGATTGGTCTTCTCAGTGTTTAACGTGAAACCTCTTCAGGGCTGAGATCCATTCGCCCCCTGTGAACTGTGGGCTGCCATTCCCAACGCTGTGAGGGCTGCCGCGTGAATGTCAGGGGCTGCATTTTAGTTAGTCACGCCGCTTCTCAAATGACAGAGAACCAGTGTCCTTCAATGGGAGCACAGACTTTGTCCCAGCCAACTGTCACTGCTGTGACACACAGGGAACTGTTTATAGAGGCTGTAACAGGGGCTCTGTAGCAAGGAAACGTGGGACGCCACACGGCCCACAGGGACCTCAGGCGAGCAGGCGGGGGCAGGTCCCTCTCTGAGGATCCTTTACGCTAGGCTGATGGGTCAGTGGTGGCTTCCAGAGGAGAGCTACACAATCAGATGTATTCTTGGGAAAATATTGTGCAGAAAATCCACACAGTGAAGGCCCTCTGTGTGTGTTTAAATCAGAAGCAGATGTTCTAGAAGGAAGCGCACTAGACTGATTATCACTGGAAAAAGCACTGTAACTGGCGATGATGGCCAGTGCAGACTTCAATTTTCAGCTAAAATAATCCACTTAGCTTTTCATTAAAACTGTGACAAATGCCTTCAGTGACTAGCCATGCCTCATTCCTGTTACACTGATGACAAATGGAATTTGAAAGAAAGTGCAGGGCTGTTGGGACGGCTCTGCAGGTGAAAGCAAGGGCTGCTCTTGCAGAAGAACTGGGTTCGGTTCCCAGCACCCACATGAAGGCTCACAATCATCTGCAACTGTTTCCAGGCGATCTGATGCCCTCTTATGACCTCCCACACACATAAATAAAATTAAATATTTAACTGTTTGTGTGTTTGTGTATGGGTGTTTTACCTGCATATAGGTCTGTACACTGTGCGCATGCAGTGCCCCCAGAGGCCAGAAAAGGACATAGGATTCCCTGGGATGGGAATTACAGATGGTTAGCCAGGCAGTGGTGGCCCATGCCTCTAATCCCAGCACTCAAGAGGCAGAGGCAGGCAGATCTCTGTGAGTTCAAGACCAGCCTGGTCTACAAAAGCTTGTTCCAGAACAGCCTCCAAAGCCACAGAGAAACCCTGTCTCGAGGACCACCCCCCTGGAAAAAGATGTAATTACAGATGATTGTGAGCTGTCATGTGGGTTGACCTGGGTCTTCTAGAAGAGCAGTCTGTGCTCTTAACCACTGAGCCATTGCTCAGGCCTCTAAAGTATTTTATGAGTTTTTTTGTTTGTTTTGTTTTTGCTTTTTTTTTTTTCTTTCCGAGACAGGGTTTCTCTGTATTGTTTTGGAGGCTGTCCTGGAACTTGCTCTGTAGACCAGGCTGGCCTCAAACTCACACCAATCTGCCTGCCTCTGCCTCCCAAGTGCTGGGATTAAAGGTGTGTGTCACCACTACCTGCAAATGAATATACTTTTAAAACCAAAAAAAGATGGGCACCTATAACAGGGATGAGCTTTAAAGGTGTTTTGCTACAGGAAAGAAGCACAAAGTCCACGTGTTGTGTGACTCCATTCCCAGGCAATGTCTGGAGTAGACACGTCTATGGAGGCAGAAGTGTGTCAGAGGAGCTGGGGACGAGAGGACTGCAGCTGCTCAGAACACAGTTGCTATTTGCAGCGATGGCAATATCTGGAAGCAGCTCATTGTGGTGTAACTAATGCCACTAGAGTATACATTAAAACAATGGCTGCCGGGTATGGAGGTACACACTTAGAATCCCAGGACTAGGAGGATTGTGAGTTCAAGGACAGGCTGTATTCTACAGCAAAACCCTGTCTCAAAGCATCCCAAAAATAAACAATGAAAATAAAGCAGGGCTGGTGAGATGAATCAGTGGGAACAGGCACCTGCCGCAAGGTTGATAGCCTGAGTTCAACACCCTAGAGCCCACATAGACAGAGGGAGCCGTTTCCCACTAACATCTAAAACCACACACACGTGCTGTGGCATGTACGGGAACACACACACATAAATAACTGTAAAAAAATAAATAAAATGGTTAGCACGGTGACTTGTAAGTTGTCTATATTTTACTACAATAAAAAATAAAGTCATGCAGGGCATGTAATCTCAGCACTAGGGAGGCAGAAGCAGGAAGATCTCTGTGAGTTCAGTCTGGTCTACAGAGTGAGACCTTCAAAATAGAATTTAAAAATAAGACCATTCCAACAGATGACTAGTCAGAGAATGAACCTGAGGGTCAGCTAGAACGTTGTTGTAGCAGTCTAGCGTGTGGGTCGAAGAGGCTGTGGAGATGAACAAAGAAGCTATTTGTGAGGTACACACCACATGACTTCCGGCCATCTCAGCAGGAGACACCTGGGCATCCTGTAGCCTCCCTGCTGGGAGGAAGAAGTGTGGATAGGGTTGTGATGATAACTGTCTCTTGTCCAGAGAACATCATGGCGGCCTATCGCCACCGCCCACATTTACGGGATGCCCAGGGAAGGAGAACCTGAGGAGAGCCTGGAGGAAGCAACCTTGGGAGACAAAAGGTTGGACATCACTAAGTGAATTAGGCGAGGATTGGTGATTGGGTAGCAGGACCTATGGGGGCCACTGCTTGGCTGATGGACAGCAACCCTTGCACCCCACTCCAGGATATTATACAGAAGTCCTGCTTAACTGTCTTATTCCTCTTGACTCAATTGTTAGCCCCCCAAAAAAGGCCAGAGTCTTATATTCTGTCGGACTCTAGAGCCCTTCTCTGCTTCTAGGACTGAAGCATGCTCCACTGACCCTCACAGCAATCCTGAGGAGTGGGCACAGTGAGTTAATAGGGTCCCCACAAATTCATGTCTACTCAAAACCTGAAAGAGTTATGCTATTTAGAAATGGAATCATCGGGGAAGGTGGGACGGCTCAGTGAGTAAGGGTGCTTGCCAGCAAGTCTGAGAGTTCAATACCCTGGGCTCACAGGGGATCAGAAGAGAACACACTCTCCAAGTTCTCCTCTAAACTTCACTAACCTTCACGCGCTGGCCATGGTGTATACACACACACACACACACACACACACACACAGAGGGAGAGAGGGAGGGAGGGAGAGAGAGAGAGAGAGAGAGAGAGAGAGAGAGAGAGAGAGAGAGAGAGAGAGAGAATGTAATTTTAAAGAGAAAGAAAGAAACTGAGTCTTTGCAGGTGCAGTTGGCTAAGGTGACACCGCACCGGATTGGGAGGGCTCTAAAGCCCAGGTCTTACAGAAGAGGAGACGCGGAGACGGAGGAAACGCCACGAGAAGGAGGAGGCAGAGACCAATGCCAAGGAACACCAAGGACTGCCAGCAGCTAGCAGAAGATGGAGAGCAGTGGGACAGTGTCACCCTCAGAGCTCCAAAGGAATAGTCCTCATGACACCCCAATTAATATCTCTAGATCTGGGAGAGAGTAAACTCCTACTGTGTAAACACACACACACACACACAAATTAAATAGTTAGTTAAATATAAAACTATACACACGCATACACAGAGAACCAGAGAATGGTGGACTGTGGAAGAGGGGGCTAGTTATATATAGGCAAAGGCTGCAGGGGACCCTGTCTCAACAGATAAAAAGAAAACTCGAGAGAAAGCCACATGTAGAAGTAAGGTTCCTCACCGTGACAGATTTGACATCCAGCATATCCTCCACCCTGACACAACCCTCCCTCCATCCAGTCTTCTCTGGGCCACCAACAAACCAAGTTTCTTGACAACAACATTATTTTGCCCTTTTGCCCACACAGAGCCTACCCTGTGAAGGAGTCCCATATGATTATGAGGCAGTCTGGTCCTTTGTCTGCTGTGGCAATCCATCGCCTGTCTTCGCTGACACAGAGGCAGGAGATGATGTTGGGGTGGCCCTATGGACATGAAGGAGACATACTTAGTGTGGGGCCCCCCTCAAGGAGGGTCCTCCCGCTTGCCTGCTAGGGAAGCAGCTCCTGGAGGCCTCCCGGAGGCCTCTCCATCTCTTGCGGGGCTGCGTTCCGAAGCTTTCTCTTCCTCTGCGAACCTGAAGGAGCTGTAATCTCTAAAGGAATAAGTCCTCCCTAGGGATGCAGGTAAGTGGCCAACCCAACCAGGACCTCTGAACTCCCTGCTGGCTTCATTCCCCCACAAACAGTGCTCACCTCAGATCACTGAACAGCTCTGCAGGTCACTGGTCCTCTGATCCAGTCTCAATACCCCGGGGGTCATTTCCCCACACAACACAGGAATCTTCCAGAAACATACTCAAAGAGAACAGCATCCTCCCCCCCAAAAAACAGGGTTTCTTTGTGTAGCCCTGACTGTCCTGGAACCCACTCTGTAGACCAGTCTGACTTCAAACCCAGAGCTCTGGTCCCCATTTTTCCTGCATGCCCGTTTTTATCACAGACTGGGATATCCAGGTTCGCTTTGTTCATGGCCACATACAAAACTCGACACTCAGCAGCAGTCATGATGCAGTTATGTCATGAACAAATGGTCAAGGTCAGTCCTAGTTGCACGCTGGCATGGTTAGGCTCTTGTGGGTCATGCTACATGCATCTGAGCTGCCTGTTCACCCCAGCACCTTCCGTCTGTGGTTCCTGTACTTGGTGACACATGCTTAATCCAGCTTCAATGGGACTTGCTTGATGTTTTTATCAGAAAGAAGATTCCTTAGGTTGTATATCCCCTTATCACACTGAGCACAGCCTAGGTGTTTGGGAAATACTTTGTGATCCTTTTGACCTTGGCATTGACTGGAAGGTCCTATAACATCACACATTCATGAAGAGCCAACATATAACTAACAGCCAAGTCAACAGTAAATAGTAGACACTTAGAAACAGGACATTTAGAGCCGGGCGTTGGTGGCGCACGCCTTTAATCCCAGCACTCGGGAGGCAGAGGCAGGCGGATCTCTGTGAGTTCGAGGCCAGCCTGGTCTACAAAGTGAGTTCCAGGACAGCCTCCAAAGCCACAGAGAAACCCTGTCTCGAAAAACCAAAAAAAAAAAAAAAAAAAAAAAAAAGAAACAGGACATTTAGGTAGGGAAATGATGACAATGAAAGAGGTCAAACTCTCAGGGCCGGGGAAGCAGGCAGTGTGAGGAAGGCAGGTGTAGAGGACGCCCAGGGAGGGGGTGAAATCAGAGCACTGCGGAGGTAAGGGAAGGACAGGGGGACCCCTGGCCTCTGAGCACTTCCCAGTCCTGAGGCCCTGGACTAGTCTCTGTAACACTCTGAACCTGTTTCCTCTTCTGACACATAGACATCTTAATACCTACTTTCTAGAGTGGCAACCCGAGTCTAAGTGGGGTGGGTCTTTGTCCCCAGGGAGCTGCTGCCCTCCGTAACTCATCGCACTTCTGTGGGGACATAATCTATGCTGTCATGTTTTTTTGTTTGTTTGTTTTGTTTTTTGCAGAAATGTACAAAATCCAGATGTTTCCATTCTTGAAATGTTACAATTAGTATCAGCTGTTTGCCACTGGGTACTGATTAAACTCATGGAAGGTGGGCAGCAGCACATGATTATTTTCTTTTTCTTTTTATTTATTTATTTATTTTTGGTTTTTCGAGACAGGTTTCTCTATATTGTTTTGGAGGCTGTCCTGGAACTCACTCTGTAGACCAGGCTGGCCTTGAACTCACAGAGATCCGCCTGCCTCTGCCTCCCAAGTGCTGGGATTAAAGGCGTGTGCCACCAACACCCGGTTCTTTTTATTTTATGACATTGATTTGTGTATCCTCGTGTGTGAGTGTGTGTGTGTGTGTAGGTGTGCATGCACATACCTGCCACAGTGCACACGTGGAGGTCAGAGGGCAACCTATGAGAGTTGTCCCTCTCCTTCCACCATGTGGGCCTTGGGGACCAAGCTCAAGTCATCAGGCTTCGTTCTTGCAGGGTGAGCCACCTTACCCTGTGTCTCTAAAGCAGTGGTTCTCAACCTGTGGGTGGTGGCCCTTTGGCAAACCTCTATCTCCAAAAATAAATTTATGGTGGGGGTTACCAAAACATGAGAAACTGTATTAAAGGGTCACAGCATTAGGAAGGTTGAGAACCACTGCTATCAAGGGAGAATTTGCCGAAAAATGGAGAGGCCAACAGGTATGACTGTTGGACCCCAAAGTTACCCTGGGACCCAAAGCAAAGTTCTATATGCGGGTTACAGGTGTTTTCTTCCAGCCTGGCCTGGAGGCACATGTCAGCCATCCCGGTCACTTCAGAGGCTGAAGCAGGAAGTTTGAGAACTCAGGGACATTCTGGGCTCCATATCTGAGTCCCTATCTCAAAAAAACTAAGCAAACACATCTTTTTGTTCACTGGGAGACGAGGCCTGCATACCTGAAGGTGGTACTGTGTATTCCTGAAGACGTTGTAGATGACGGCGGTGTGGGCACAGGCGTAGAGAAGGACTCTCTGGTTCTCCCGGAGATAATAGACAGGGAGGAAACTGTTCCATCCAAAGGACCAGGTCATGGTCTGGAGAACAAAGACAAACACGGGAGCCGTGAGCGTGCTGAGCCCAGAGCTGTGGCTCATGCATGCCTCGCCCTGCCTGCCCCTGGAGAACGTCTCTGACAGTCCCAGGGAAAAAAGAAAACTTTTTATTTGTTTGAAACAGGGTCACATGTAACTCAGGCTGGGCTTAAACTCACTACATAGCTAAAGAGTAGCCTTTTACTCCCCATCCTCCTGATTGTTGTTTTTCTTAAAAAAAAAAAAAAAAAAAAAAGAAAGAATGGAGGGAGGGAGGTCTTTAACATCATACAAATCACTTTTTCTAGGCTGGAGAGATGGCTCAGCGGTTAAGAGCACTGGCTGCTCTTCCAGAGGTCCTGAGTTCAGCTTCCAGCACCCACATGGCCACTCATACACATGCAGGCAAGAGTCCAATGCACATAAAATAAAAACAAAACTTAAAAAATAAATTAAAAAAAAACAACAACAAAAAACACTTTTTTGATCTCTACTCCCGGGTCTAAAGGCACACTTAGTACTAACACAGAGTGAGTATTTAATATGATGAATTCCATTAGTTCCTGAAAACGTAGGATGCAGAACGTGTAAACCCAGGTTGGTGGCGCACGCCTTTAATCCCAGCACTCGGGAGGCAGAGGCAGGTGGATCTCTGTGAGTTCGAGGCCAGCCTGGTCTACAGAGTGAGTTCCAGGACAGCCTCCAAAGCTACATAGAGAAACCCTGCCTTGAAAAACCAAAAAGAAAAGAAAAGAAAAAAAAAAGAAAGGAAATCATTCAGTCTGAATAGCTGTTACTTCTGCCTTGTTTTGTGTTTTTGTTGTCATTGCTGCTTTCCATAGCTCAGTGGTAGAATACTTGCCTGGCATGGGCAAGCCCCTGGGTTCAATACCAGCACCCCTTATAGATGCTAGATATTTGGGAAGGATGCCAAAATAAGAACTTTCTGGAATGAGAAACCAAGGCATTCCAGGAAAGGCAAAGTAACCCTGATGCTGGGAATGACCAGTGGCAGCCAGGGTTCTAGAGAAGGCAGCAGAGTGGACAGGAGGTGTGCAGGGAGTGTTCCAGTGTGGTGGCCAGGGATGTCACACCCTGTCACCGCCACAAAAGGCCCAGCACACCTGCCTGCTCATTCCATCTGCTAATAGTGACATGCACATTGGCCTGGCGGTGCTGGCAAATGTGCTACGCTGACACAAACTAGTACCGAAACGGGAATCTGGAGAGGGCGGCACCAGGGGTTGTGTGGAAAATCTGTGTACTGTCCCCTCAAATTTTCCTGGAGCCTGAAGCTGTTCTCTCTCATACACCATCAGGTCAATTAAAAAGCAGTCTTTGAAAGTGGTGGTGTTGGAATAACCAATGGCTGAAGATCCATGAGTTACACTGGCACACAGCAGCAAGCTGTCCTTCTCCTCTTGGAACAATGCTTAGGAAGTTGAATGGAGGGGCAGACGCGGCAGGTGACACGCATGGTGACTTTTCGCTGTCACGGTGTTTGTTCCCCACACTTCTTGTTTCCTTCTGCCCGCTCCCTGGAACTTGTGTTTCTGTTTAGATCTGGGATTGCGTGGGTGTGAGTGGTAGAACTGTGGAATTATAATTGTCTCAAGCTGCACCTTCTAGGAACAGAATTACCTAATATTTGCCTTGGTTCTAAAAAGCCGACTTATGCAAATGAAACTGTTCTTTTAGAGACTTGCTAATCCTAAAGGGATCATCATGTTCATCTTGAAATTTCATTTTGTCATTTTAATATGGGTCATGAGAAAGGAAAGACTCCAGGGGTGTGGTGGTGAGTGCCTGTAATGCCAGCACTTCAAAGGTGGAGGGAAGTGGGTTAGCCTTGGCTACATAGTGCATGTAAAACCAGCCTGGGATATACAAGTAAACAAGGGGCCATGAAGAACTCTCACTGGGTCAGGTGGTGTCGGCGCACGCCTTTGATCTTAGCACTCAGGAGACACAGGCAGAGCTACACAGAGAAACCCTGTCTCGAAAAACAAAACAACAGAAGAAGGTCCCCATAGGTTATATATTTTTGAGCTTAGTCCCCAGTTGACAGACTGTTTAGGAAGGAATAGTAGGCGTGCCCTCACTAGAGGAGGTGTGTCACTGAGGGTGGGCTTTGAGGTTTCAAATGCTCATTCCAGGTCTCTCTCTGCCTGCTGCCTGCAGATGGATTAGACTGCGAGCTCTTAGCTCCAGCACCATGCTGGCCCGCCTGCCTGCTTGCCACACTCCCCACCATGATGGTCACATACTAACTCTTTGTAAGTAAGTCCCTGATAAAAGGCTTTATTTTATAAGAGCTGCCATGATCACAACAACAGCACCAAGACTAAGACACCTCCGCAAAGGAGCATGGAGGCAGGAGGATCCCAGAAGCGGGCTGGCCAGTCAGTCTAAATGAAATCATTTAGAGCTAAGTGAGAGGCACTGTCTCAAAAAAATTAAGTGGGACATGGGCAAGATGGCTCACAAAGTAAAGGTGCTGGCTGCTTACCCTGAGGACATCAGTTCAGCCCCTAGACCCACATGGTGCAAAGGCCACACTGGCTTCTGCAAGTTGCCCTCTGACTGTCACATGCACACTGGAGCCTACGCATGTCCCCTCACAAATAAATGCACTATAAAATCTTCCTTAAATAAAACAACGCCGAGAGTAGTGGAAGAAATCCCTGAATATTGACAGTTATGCATGCCTATAATCTGAGAACTCAGGGGACTGGGGTATGAGAGTTGTGAATTCAAGGCCAGCCTGGGCTACGTAGCAAAACCTTGTCTCAAAGTAAAGCAGGAAAACCAAAATCTAATGTGAGTGGGTACAAAGGCTCACTCTGTGTTAGGACTAAGTTCTTTACATAGAATCAATCTTCTTGAAGGCAAGAATCCTCAGGGGGAAAAAAGGGGGCAGAAAAAAAAAAAGAAGCAAAAAGCAAGAACGAATCCTAGCAAAGGATTTCCAGAAAGCAGCAGATGGGGAAAATGGGGGAGGGGCCTCTTCTTCCTTCTCCTTGGCTGGGCAAATGACAAAGCTTTTGTGCCTCACAGATGGCACCTCCCTGGGACACATGTCAGCAACAGCAAGGACAGATTCCTAGCAAAGGCCAGAGATTTGCCACTTCCTCTCAAAGCTCTCCACCTAGCGGAGGCAGAAACAGAGGGAGGAGAAGAGGTGTAAAAGTCAGGAGGAACATTGGTAGTGCCTGAGAGGAAGAGAGAGCAGAGGGAGGGAGGAGAGAAACAGAGGCTGGGAAGGGAAAAGAGAGAGGGAGTCTCCCTCGTGAAACAGTCAACGCAACAGTCCAACTATGCCAGGAATTTCCGGCCTGCTGAGCTGTGCTATAGAACCCAGATGTTGCCATCAGCTTCCAGGTCTAACACATGGGTGCCTCCCCCTCCCCCAGCTCTTGACAGAACTTTAAAAGACAAAGTTTGTCTAAAAAGTATTAATTTAAAACGTTCTTCTGGTTTCTGGGTTGAAGGGATGCCAACTGAGCGTGCTGAGTTAAATCCTTAGGACCCTTGTAAATAACAAAATGGCTAGCTAGGCATGACAGAAGTGAGTTTCTGGTCATCCCAGTGCTGGGGAGGCAGAGACAGGTGGATAGGGGGTGGTTGAGGGTGGCCAGGCAGCTCAGGCTACTTTACAATACAAATTCCAAGCCATGGGAAACTATATACATATATGCCAAGCTCTGAGTTTGAGGCCAGGCTGGTCTACATAGTGAATTCCAGGACAGCCAGGGCTACACGGAGAAACCTTGTCTCAAAAAAAAAAGCAAAAGTAATAATAATAACATTAATAATAGTGAACAGAGCCTGAAGAAGACACCCACAGTTATCCTCTGGCCTTCTTATGCACATGGGTGCACACACGTAACACATACACACAGGCACATACACACTGGAACTTTCCCAACACGCACAGACACCCTATCTCATGGTGTTGGAACTCAACACCATGCTGATCCCATCCCCTGACAACGGGCAGGGCACGAATAGTGTCCTGGTCACATCATCACTATGACACTTGTTACAGGGTCTGCGTAGTAAAGACTCAGTTCACATGTGCAAGCTTCCCCTTTTAAGTGAGCGCCTCCTCGTGGTATCCCCTCCCCTTCCTCTTTGCTCTCTTACACCCCTCTCTTTTCTCCTCTCTCCCTCCCTCCCTCCCTCTCTCTCCCTCTCTCTCTCTGTCTCTCTCTCCCTCCCCCCCTCTCTCTCTGCTCCCAGTTGGCCAATACCTAACTCCCCTTCCTCTTCCTCTTCCCTCTCTGCTCTTCCTCTTACCGTCTTCGTCTCTTCTTGTATCTTCTTCTCTTCTCCCCCCCCTCTCGCCCTCCCCTCCCTCACCTGTAATAAACTCTATGGTTAATGTACTCTCTTGGCTCATGTTCCATCGCACTGGTTTCATAGCGTGCTTTCTAACTTAAGCAAAAGAACAGCGCATAGTACTTGCTGTCCAAGCCCAGAAATGACACACAGTGACACTCACCAAAGGATACACCTTGGAGCCCTCCTCTTTCTGGAACAAGGTGTCCTCTGTGGAGGTGGACACCAGTGACTCCTGGGAACTCCCGGTTTCGGCTTGGGATGATTTCTGTCTCTCCTCTTCCTGTTTTGGTTCTGTGCCTCTCCATTCTTGGGCTGAAACACCTTCTGCCTTCTGGCCCGTTTTCTCAACTTCCTTTGATGACTTCCTCCTGAGAGAATCGATCTTTTCCTCCTCAGACTTGACAGCCTTAGTAACTTCAAACCCTGTACCATTATCTCTGAAAATCTCGCTTACTTCAGGACTTTGGGAGTGTGAGGAGGACTTGCTACTTTCTGAGGTTTCAATCTTTAAATAGAAAAAAAAATTCTGAGTCGGCATGTGTAGTACCCAAGGCTACATTCTCCCATTTACTGTCTTTTTCCATTCCCAGTCACCCAGTCTCATGATAACAGGTGGCTCAAAAGGGAGCCTGGGATATTTTATTTTAACTTATTTATTAAGTATACAGTGTTCTGTCAGCATGTATGCCTGCACCACCAGTAGATGGCTCAAGATCTCATTACAGATGGTTGTGAGCCACCATGTGGTTGCTGGGAATTGAACTCAGGACCTCTAGAAGAGCAGTCAGTGCTCTTAACCTCTGAGCCATCTCTCCAGCCCTGTGCCTGAGGTATTTTGTACTAAAGAAATGAATCATGGCTGTGTTCAGGTTAATTCTTGATCTTCCAGTAGACCCATACAGCACAGACTACACAGTAGTCCCTTGTAAGAAAGACTAGGAGTCCCGCCCTTGGACAAGCACTGAGTTCTTTCTTGAGGAGCAGACTGTGGGAAACCCATACCACTATTATACCACAGGAACTCAATCCCAAGACAAGTGTGTCTCACCTTCAGGTAATCCACTGGCCATTCCCAAGGCAGGACCACACTTCATGGAAGCTTACTTTTACCATCCTCCAAACTGGATTGAACCACCCTCCTTGCATCTCACAATTATTGTACATAGCATGTGGTTTTCTTTCTTTCTTTTTAGTGTTTGTGTTTATGTTTGTGTTTGTGTGTGTGTGTGTGTGTTTTATACAGGTGCTCAAGGAGTCCAGAAGAGAGTATCAGATTCCCCTGGAGCTGGAGTTACAGGACACTTCCTCATGGGTGCTGGGAACCCAACTCAAGCCTTCAGGAAAAACACCAAGGGCTCTTAAGTACTGAGTCATGTCTCCTGCCAGGACTGTGTCTTTGGTTTTGTAAGTCTGACAAAAATTAAGCACACAACTAATGCTTCTGAATGTATGGGCAGGTGAGTTACAGTGTGAATGTATCAGTGAGTTACAGGGTGAATGAATGTATGGGTGAGTTACAGTGTGAATGAATGTATGGGTGAGTTACAGTGTGAATGAATGAATGGGTGGGTTACAGTGTGAATGTATGGGTGAGTTACAGTGTGAATGTATGTATGGGTGGGTTACAGTGTGAATGAATGTATGGGTGAGTTACAGTGTGAATGAATGAATGGGTGGGTTACAGTGTGAATGTATGGGTGAGTTACAGTGTGAATGTATGTATGGGTGAGTTACAGTGTGAATGAATGAATGGGTGAGTTACAGTTTGGACTCACCACTGAAGATGCTGATGTGGACGACTCAGAGCTGATGACAAGATCATCTAAATTTAATGTTTTTTTAGACTTCTTTGTTATTTCTTCATGGACTTTTCCAATTTTTTCCTCAATTTCTTTTATGACAATATCTCCCTCGTCCTCCTCTTGTTCCTCCTGTCTTTCTGCTGTATGTTCCTCCTCCTCCTCCCTGTCCTCTTCCTCACCTCCCTTTTCCTCACTTTCCTCTTTTTCAATTCCCTTTCCTTCTCCTTTTTCTTCACCTTTTTCCTTTCCCTCCCATCTCCCCCCCTCCTCTCCCATTTCCTCTTCCTCACCTCTTTCTTCTTCCTCCTCTCCCATTTCCTCTTCCTCACCTCTTTCTTCTTCCTCCTCTCCCATTTCCTCTTCCTCACCTCTTTCTTCTTCCTCCTCTCCCATTTCCTCTTCCTCACCTCTTTCTTCTTCCTCCTCTCCCATTTCCTCTTCCTCACCTCTTTCTTCTTCCTCCTCTCCCATTTCCTCTTCCTCACCTCTTTCTTCATCTCCCATTTCCTCTTCCTCACCTCTTTCTTCATCTCCCATTTCCTCTTCCTCACCTCTTTCTTCTTCCTCCCCTCTCATTTCCTCTTCCTCCCCTCTCATTTCCTCTTCTTCCCCTCTTACGTCCTCTTCCTCCCCTTTCTCTTCCTTTCCTCTTGCTGCTTCTCCTTCTTCTACCTGTTCCTCCTCCTCCATCCATTTCCCTTCCAACCCCGCCTCCTCCTGGGACTCCTCCCATGATGATGTGTCTTCAGTTAGGCTCTGTTGCAGATTTTCTTCTTCATAATTTGGATTATATTCCTCTTCTTCTTTTTCTGTTTCAACACTTTCTTCTGCATCTGACATTCTTCTGTAGTTTCCTCTAGAAAAATTCTGACACAGACTCAGCAGTCCTTCTGCTTTCTCCTTTCGTTTCCCGATGTGTTAACGTATTGAAATGCACAGCGGCAGCTCTGGTCCCTTCCTATGGGAATAAAAGGGATGCTGTCTTCTCGGGAAAGCCAAGCTTGAATCTTAAAAATCTTTAAAATATCGACCCCCAGCTTTCTCATCTTTCTAGGAAGGATCTTAGTGTCTTCTAACTCACTTTAAATAATTCGTATTCCCACAGGCAGCAAAATGCATAAGATAGACATTTGCAAAAACCCCAGTGCTAGGTAGGAACAAGAGACCGCTGTGGGCTTGTGAATGGAGTGTGGGTTTTACAGTCAAAGGTTCCCTATACTCCCATGCCCACCACCCTTGTTCTGTGACCTGAAGCAAGTCACTTTTTCCTTCTGAGGTCAAATTTGCTCACATTCAAAAGTAAGAATGATAATCCTAAATTCTAGCATGATTTGAAGACTGGGCACCAAGTCAAATGCTTACTACAGATACAGCTCAGAGCTTGCAAAAAGGGGTGGGGCAGGTATTATGTAGATAAAAGCAACTCTGCTTTTGCAAAGTACGTGAAAGTTTGAAAGTTCTCTGGGAGGGAGATGAGACCCCCAAGTCCTACAACCTAAGGTAGACTTCCAAGACTCACATGGTGAAGAAGAAAACCAATGCCCAATGGTTGTCATGTGACCTCAACACAATACAACTTGGTATGTGACCACTCCCAATAAACAAGTACACAAATAAAATTAAAAATGTAATTCTGGGCTGGAGAGATGGCTCAGTGGTTAAAAACACTGGCTGCTTTTCCAGAGAACACAGGTTTGATTCTCAGCTCCAATACAGGGTCACAACCATGTGTAACTTGAGTTCCAGGGGATCTGACGTCCTCTACTGGACTCTGCAGGCACATCACACATGATGTGCAGACATGCATGCAGACCAGACACACAGGACATAAAAATAATTCCTGCCGGGCGGTGGTGGCGCACGCCTTTAATCTCAGCACTCGGGAGGCAGAGGCAGGCGGATCTCTGTGAGTTCGAGGCCGGGCTGGACCGATAGCCTCCAAAACAATACAGAGAAACCCTGTCTTGTAAAAACCAAAATAAAATAAAATAAAATAAAAATAATTCCTAAAAAATTTCAATTCCTGATACAGTTCTCTCATTTTACCCCTACAACAGACAAGAGTTTGGTAGCAGCAGGGCTGCTCCCACCATACTTGTAATCCCTTCTGAAGGTAGAGGCAGGAGAAAAACTGAGTTTTAGACCAGCCTAATTTAATTTAAAAAGAAAAAAAAGTTTGTGGCTCTGAGAGGCATGGCTTAGACAGAGCTAGAATTTATTTGTTTGAAAATGCGCCACTATGATTTCCAATGTCAACTGCGCCAGCGCGTTAGTCTGGAAAACCACAACCAGGCATACAGGGCAGAGGTGTGTGTGTAACCCTTCCACCAGGTCCAAGTGCCGCCACTTCCTCTTTCTGGGTTGCCTCAGGTGCCACAACGCTGCCCTACCTGGGCGAGACCCCCACCCGGGCCGAGCCCTCCACTTTGCACTTACAGGGAGGGGGGGCACCCACTTCGTTCCTCAAAAGCCCTGGGTCGTCGTCCTGCCTCTGGGATTCCCAAGCGGCCCAGCGTCTTCTGTCCGCGCTCCCTAGTGACGGTTGCCACCCAAGCTCCGTCTCCATGGCAATAGCTAGGAGCCCCAGGCCGGAAAGGGAGGGAGCAGGATGGTGGTTACAGGCCCACCTGGACCAGGCTGCCCCCTGCCGGCTGCCGGGCGAACGGCTCACCCTCTTGATCTTTGCTGAGCGACCCTTTGAAAGAGCTTTGCCCCAACACTGGCAATTGTGGTTTTCCCAAAGTTGGGCAAAAGGAAAGGAAGCAATGTTTACAGTTTTTGTCTCCAAATTGGGAATTTGGGCTGATAAACGGGAGCATGCTCAAGAAACTGAGAAAAACAAACAAAACCCCAACAACCCTGAAGTCAAAAAAAAAAAAAAAAAAAAAAAGCTGGCGCATTCTCCTGGCCAGGTGTGGTGTAGCACACCTGAGAACCCAGAACTAGGGAGATGAAGACAGAGGATCAGCTCCAAGTCAGCCTGGGCTACATGAGGCTTTACTGGGGGTCAGCCTGGGCTACATGAGGCTTTACTGGGGGGGAAGGAGACTCTTGAGTGGAGCTGCTTGGAAGACGTACATCCACGGTGCAACGGAGCCCTCACTGTTGTAGTGGGACGCTCCTGTAACCCCAGAAGACCCACTGGTTCACCTGGTTGATCGGGGTGGACTGCTCCTTCAGTTTTTTGTCAGCACAAGGTGAACAGACCTGTTCATGGCTCTCCAGCAAGCCATGCAAGACGTAGTATGAAGCATTTAATAAAATCCCCTCAGCACTGAACCCAACTCCCTGGCCTTGCAGGTGTGTGTGTGTATGTATGAATGTGTGTATACATACACACACACATATGCCCACCTCTCCCACACCCCTCCCCACCCACCCCCCGAGGCATAGCATGAAGAGAAATTTAGCTAAGCGGGACTGGAGTTACATGAAGTGCACGACCTTGCTGTTATCATAAAGAGTTTATGCAAACCTACCTTGGTCAAATCCATTAGGGCCATTCATGTCAAAGTGTCTCACAGAAGAGCCCAAAGGTGGCTTTCCTGATCTGTCCAAGGAGAGGCCTGCAGGAAATTGGCCAACGGACCTTGTTCAGAACACTCGGCAGCCACCACTTTAGAATATGAGTGACTCCTCCAGCAAGCCCACCACTATGTCCCAGTGCTGGTGATCATATGCAGATCTCAAAGGGTTAAACTGAATGGTGCAAGCTGTGTTTATTGTAGTGTGGGACTTAGGAAGAGGCTGGGAAGTACTTGGAATTATAACCTACAATTTAAACAGCAAACACTAGTAAACACAGCACGTCTGGCTACAAGAGAGGAATACATGAGGCTGTCTGGCTGAAGCAGTTTGAGGGAGGCGTTCAAGTTGAGTGTGAGGACAAGGCAGGTAGCACACGCCGATACCGACTGCCATCAGAGTTGTCAGCCTCCATCCTGAGCAACCCAATCCAAGGATATGCGCTTCCTCTCTGAACGTGCCAGACATTCAGAAGAGGCTGGTGGCAACCGCGGAAAGGAAGTGGGGCACATGGAGAAAGGAAGACAACGGTACCTAGGAGTCACACACGCCAAATTTACAATCTCAAGACAGAAAATAAAAGGACGCAAGCAGCAACCATAAACATGTTCACCCTAACTTCCCAAGACACAGGTCCAGGGCATAGCCAAGGCTCAACTATAAAAGCCCAATCAGGAGCCATCTGCAGGGTCCTTTATTACAGAAGGGAAGGGAGCTTGCTGCTCTCCAGTGGTCACTGGAACAGGTAACCTGTGAAGCCTCCTGACCTTTGCTAATGTGTTCGAGGAACTGTGTGGACACACAGAGTCAACTTTGGAGGAAGCATGGAACACTAGCGCTTTCTCTACCCATGGCCATACTGCTCCAAGCAGAGAGGCCAGCTGCCGACGTCAGGCTAGAGGATGTGTAGTCCCACGGTGGAACACTTGCCCAGAGTATGATGAGCTTTAGGCTTCAGTTTCCAGCACAAGAATCCACTTGGCTTCAGCCCAGGAAGCGGTTTGCTTTGCCCAACTTTCTTTCCAACTCCTCCTGAGCTTGGTTTGAGGATTGTAAGAAATCCAGGTGGGACGGTACAGTGGTCACAATTACTACAACACTGGGCTTATCTGAGGAGAAGACCTACACAAGGAGCCAGGTTTGGTGGCACACACTGTAACCCAGCACTCAGACTGAGGCAGGAAGTTTAAGGCCAGTCTGAACTCAGAGAGACCCTGTCTCCAAACCCCACTCCCCACAAGAGGAAACACCTAGGCAGGTGTTGTGATATGCACTTGGAAGTTGGAGCCTGAAGGACCAGGAGTTCAAGGCCATCCTCAGCTACACGGCAAATCTGAGGCTGGACAGGGCTACATGAGACCCTGCTAAATAAAAAGGGAGGGGCACTCACGTGCCTGTGGCTGTTAGAGGTGAGGTCTCTGGTAGGTAGACCACTCACCCTCCAGTGGAGGACCCCACACCCATAAGCATATGGGCAACACAAATTGCACTCGTAGGTTATTTATTTACAAAAAGAGGACATGAAGTTAGTAAGTGGATAAGAGGGGAGGTCTGTGGGAGCTGAAGGTGGAATTAAGTAGGGAGAAATACATGGTGTGCATGTATGAAATTCTCAAAGGCTTAAGTACAAATCATGTATGTATAAAAATACCCCGAAGGGTCTTCCCAGGCATGGTGATGCATGCCTCTAGCCCCAGCACTCAGGATGCAGAGGCAGGAGGATCTCTGTCAGCTGGAGGCCAGACTGGTCTACACAGTGAGTTCCAGCAGAGCCAGAGCTACACTGGGACTCTGTCTCAAAAAAAGAAAATGAAGTCAAATCATTACCTGCCAGAATCATTCCAACTCACTGGCTCAATGTAGAAAATCCTATGGCCTAATTCGCACACACTTAGCTAGGCACAAATCACGATTTTAATAATGCCTCAATCCAGACAAATTACACCAGCAGCCAGGGCAAGTCCTCCACCTTGATGTTCAGGGTTCACCCACTCTCTTCCAGACCCTTACGCTTCAGGGATCAAAGAGAACGAGGAATTCCCACCAGGCCCAAGGGCAGGGCCTGGCTGAAGCAGCTCTCTCACAGGTCCCAGGGGTAATCATCTCTGGAGAGGAATAATGTTGCAGCTGTGAAAGGAAACAGACACATGCTCAAGCTTGGTGGTTCCACCCGGCGAGACCCACAGGCGAAGCAAGCCTAGTAGGCTTTTTGTCAACACTTTTTTTCTTTTCTTAAAATTGTATTTGTCGATGGGCAGTGATGGTGCATGCCTTTAATCCCAGCACTCGGCAGGCAAAGGCTGGTGGATCTCTGTGAATTCGAGGCCAGTCTGGTCTACAAGAGCTAGTTCTGGGACAGGCTCCAAAGCTACACAGAGAAACGCTGACTCGCAAAAAAGAAAAAAGTATTTGTCTTTTTTTTTTAAGATTTATTTATGTGCATTGGCGTTTTGCCTGCAAGTATGTCTGTGTGAGGAAGTCACACAGGGAACTGGAGTTACAGACAGTTGTGAGCCATCATGTGGTTGCTGGGAATTGAACCTGGGTCCTCTGGAAGAGCAGGCAGTGTTCTTAACTGCTGAGCCATCTCTCTAGTGCAAAGCTGTAGTTTTCGATTTATTCATTGTGTGTGTGAGTCTGAGTGTGCGTGCCATGAACAACTTGCGGGAGTCAGTTCTCTCTACCATGTGGGTACTGGGATGAGACCGCAGGGTTTCACAGAAAGTGCCTTTACCCGCTGAGCCACCTCAGCAGCCCTTTGCCTTCTCTTAAAGCTGATGCTCAGGTAACGGAAGAACCAGAGACTCTCAGATGACCCGAGGACTGCAGCCTCATCTAAGAACACTCCGTCAATACCGTGGTGTGAGAAAAGGAATGAAGCAGATGCATTACCCCAGCAGTCCTTTTCCTGCCCAGCGTGTAGGAGTCAGTCTGAGCTGGTGTTTCTCCCCTCTGCGGATCACCGTCACATTCAGAGGCTTCTGAAAGGCAAAAAGATCACTCTCACCTCAGCTTCCTTAACACTCCAAATGGACTCAAGCAGAAAGCTGAGACGCCGTTTCCCGACGTGAAATTAAATTACCGCGTGCCGGGCTCCTGGCTGGCTGGTCCCTGAAGCTGGCGTTAAGGGGCTGTGTACAACTTCAAAGTAGTGGGAGGCAAAACACGGTGGCAGGAAGGACTGATTTGGGTAGGAATGTCCCCACGGTTCCCTGGGAACTGACCCCCAAACTAGCACCGGTGAAGTTTCTAAGATAAACTCCCCAGCTTGGGAGGTACAGCAGCTCCCTGCTGCTCCCCAGGTAAAGGCACCAATTAATCATCACTGTGAGGCACTCCAAGACTGGCCTTGAGTGGCCTGACACCTGGTCACCTCCTGCCCTTGTCTCCATTCTGGTTCTAACCTCCAACCAACATCCTTTGGCTGCTTTGTTCTTGCTGCCTGGAAGGCTCTCCTGGGGTGGCCGCCCCACTTGATCAACTTCTATCCACACCAGGGCTCAGTTCTTAGAACACTCTCCTTCAACCCCAAACTAAATCAGGGCCCCACTGCTTTCCCCCAAGCCTCCTGTGCTTCCTTTGTAACATTTGTCAGGGTGTGAAATTGCATGCCTGGGATTATTGAATTAATGTCTGCCCCCACAATGTGCTCTCAATGCAAGGGCTTTCTCCTTCTTTTGTTCCCTGCTGGACCCCAGGCCCCAGTCTGGAAGAGAGCACACACAGGGGAGGTACTGAGGGAGCGAGAGACACAGGGCTTTGGATTTTACTTTCAACATTTTTGCACTATGTGATTTTGTTTGTAAGATAAATAGACGTTATAATTATTACTGAGACAATTTACATATAATGAAGTATATGGCTCAGTGGGTTTCCTATACTCAGTTATGAGCTAGTACAATTATCTAACTGAAATGTTTGCATCATTCAAAAGACAGTCAGCAGCCAGTCAGTCCTGGTCCCATCCCTCCAGCCCCTGCAACCCCCAATCTCCTATCTGTCTGCTTTGTGGATCTGCTATTCAGACAGTTTCACTGAGTGAGATCATATGGCCTTGTGCTTTCGCTTTGAATCCTATTTTCAATACCACCTTGTAACAAAGAACTCACTTCATTCCTATGGCTGAACTAAATATACACTGTTTTTGTAACAAAGCAATGCATGCACATATATTTATATTTAAAAACAAACAAAAACCAGTGTGCAGGTTATGGTGGTGGTGGGGCACACCTTTAATCCCAGCACTTGGAAGGCAGAGGCAGGCAGATCTCTCTGAGTTCAAGGCCAGCCTGGTCTACATTAGTGAGCTCCAGGACAGCCAGGGTTACACAGAGAAACCCTCTATCAAAACAGCAACAGCATCAACACCCCCTCAGAAGAACAAAACAAAATCAAAAACAGTGTTGACGATCAAATCCCAGACAGATGCCCAGTGCTATGGGCTGAACTGAGGGTTTGCTTCTCTCCAGAAAATTCTTTTTTGTTTTGTTTTGTTTTGGAGACAGGGTTTCTCTGTAAAAATAGTCCTGGCTGTCCTGGAACTCACTCTGTAGACCAAGCTGGCCTGAATACTCTTGTAGACCAAGCTGGCCTCAAATTCAGAAATTGGCATGCCCCGACCTCCAGAGTGCTGGGATTAAAGGCATGTGACATCACCGCCTAGCTAACTCCAGAAAACTCTAATACTGGAAACCTAATCCCGACGTGACAGAGTAGGAGACTGGGCTTTAGAAGGGTGTAGCCCTGGTGATGAAATTAATGATCTATCACTTGAGCAAACTGTGCCATCTGCAGACTTGAGAACATCCCTACAAGACTCTCAATCGACAGTACCCTCCTCTTGGCTTCCATTCCACCGCCCTAACTCTGAGGCTTGTGAGGCGCCCCTAACTCACCCCCTCGCTATGCTGCCTCTGAGGCTTGTGAGGCGCCCCTAACTCACCCCCTCGCTATGCTGCACCACGCTGCCGACGTTCTGCAGTGACTGGAAGTTTTGGGTGTTCACGGAGCCAAACTCCACAATTTCATCATCCACTTGCAGGCCCTAAAGACAGGAGAGATTAAAAACCAACCAAGAAGTTAAATACGTTTCTGGTCATTTTTACTGCTCAATACATAACTCAATGGCAAGGTCAATGCTCACTTCCTACATGGAGTTTCTGAGCCAGGCTCAAGGGCAAGAAGAGGCAGGCTAAAGCCAGGCCTGTTTTTTTGGACAAGACAAATATTTGCCCCTAGAAGTCCCTAAACAGCAGCCACAGGCACGAGGCCAGCCAGAACCAACATGGTCCTTTCATTTCAGATCCCAGGACTATAGATGCTCACTTACTCATCTCTTAACAAACACCTGCCACAGGCTGACTGCAGCTAGGCACTCAATGCTGCAGATCCAGCCAGGACTAAAATAGAGCACACTGCAGTCGGCAGCCTGTGACTTGATCTTCTTTTTCTTTTTTTTTTCTTTTTTGTGGTTTTTCGAGACAGGGTTTCTCTGTGGCTTTGGAGGCTGTCCTGGAACTAGCTCTTGTAGACCAGGCTGGTCTCAAACTCACAGAGATCCGTCTGCCTCGGCCTCCCTTATTTTGCTTCTTAAATTGTTTACAGCACTAGGAATCCAACCTAGGCAAGAGCTCTGCCAAAGAGCTACATCCTCAATCCTACTTCACTTTTAATTTCAAAATAGGATTTTGCTAAATTGCCCAAATTTGTGATAGTCCTTCCTTAGCTGCCTGAGTAGTTGGGATTATGAACATATGCCACCATACCCAGCAGTCTTGTAACCGTTTCTTTCTTTACTTCTTTTATTGTTATTATTTAATGTATATGGTGTTTTGCCTGCTTGTATGTCTGTGTACCACTCGTGTGTGCCAACTGCCCACGGAGACCAGAAGAGGTCACTGGATCCCCTAGAACTAGAGCTACAGATGATTATGAACTTCCAGGTGGGTGCTGGGAATTGAACCTGGGTCCTCTTGAAGAACAGCCACTGAGCCATCCCTCCAGTAACGATCAACAGATGACTTGTAGGACTTGGATTCAGAATCCAGTTCTGCTTCTCAGCAGCTGTGTGTCCTAGCGAAGGCTGCTCTTCCTCAGGGTCAAACAGGGAGAACAGCAGTCCCACCCCAGAGGATGGCTGCAGTATTCAGTTGAAATGCATGCCCACATAAAACTTCTACATGAATATTCACAGCAGCATTATTGATAATAGTTCCAAAGTAGAAGCAATCCTAACATACAGGAGCTGACAAACAAAACATGACTATTGTACATGGGATATTATTTGGCCATAAAATGTTATGAAGCCTAGATATCTGACTAAGCCCTGAATAAACCCTGAAAACAGGACCGAGTAAAAGAAGGCAGACACAAAAGACCACCTATCACAGGACTGACCGCCTTCTCGTGAAATGTACACAATAGGCACATCTGTCCAGACAACAAGACTGGTGGCTTGTCTGGGACCACAGGGCTTCTTCCTAGGACCTATGAGGATGCTGGGAAACAGGCTGCAGTCCTGGACACACAGCTCTAAGACTACTCTGTATCCTTTAGTGAGTGTAACCATCTCAGTGATGCTGCTGAGATGTGTGCTCAGCATCTACTGAGAAAGACAGAATTCATTTCAAGCTCTTCTCATTCTCTTTTGCTTCAGTGTTCAGGGAAAATGGTTCCAAGGAGAACGCCTTCTTTCTTCCTTGAGATATGTTGTCCCACAACGTGTCTCTCCCTAAGTCCAGCGGGCTGACCCAGGTACACCAAACTCTGGCCAGCAAATGTTAAAGGAGCAGAGGAATTCAGAGCCACAGAATGAGAGAACAGCAAGCCTCTGCAGCCCAGGGCTACCTAACTCACAGCACTCCTAGGAGTGGATCTGGGGGAGCAGGCAGGATTACCGCAATACTAGCTGGGGAACCAGGGCTGATGCTGTTCACTTTGGCGAAGGCCTGGGGTGGCGCGGGACTGTTGGAGCCCAGCCTGCGGGTCATAGCCTCCTCTTGGGCTTCAGCCATGTCCCGGGCCTGCTTCTCCTTGTCCCGAGCATGCAGTCGGTGCAGGGCCTCTTCCACCTGCTTCATGACTGCCTTGTGGTCGTTCTGTAGACCTGGGAGGAGAACAACATGTCAGAGGCAAGGGACAAGAGCACAGGGCACAGGACAGATGAAACAGGACACCTGAATCTGCTCACTGCAATGCTGTATCTTGTCAAACTCCTGAGACTGAGAATCACTCAAGAAAAGCCTCTGGGGGTGTCTTTCAGGGCATTTCCAGAAAGTTTAACTGAACGTAGGCAGCACCATCCCACGAGATGGTCTTGGACCGAAGTCCAGCATTCTACACTCTGTCTCCTGGGGCAGGCTCCTGCACCCTCAGACTGTGAGCCTGAACAAATTCTTTCTTCCTAAGTTTCTTCTACCAGATATTTTATCACAGCAACCAAAAGAGTAACAACACACCAGAATGTTTAATGAGTGCTCACTAGACACTAGACACAAAGCCAGAGTCCAAGGGGCAGACAACCCCGTGAACCAGACACAGAGCCAACCTAGCCTCACTAGGGAGCTGTGTAGTCAGGAAGGCACTACAGAGCAGGTGGTGACCGCCTAAATCAGGGCATCAAGGCGGCCCCTGAAAAGCAGCACAGCCCCTGCTGAGACCTGAAATGTAGTGGAAATCAGGGACTTCCCACCGCAACCATGCCATGACCTCATGTACGAACAGGGACAGTGGCAGAAGTCAGACAGAAATAAGGTTGCTGGGCAGGATGCAACGTCTGCAGTCCCAGTGCCTGGAGACAGAGGCAGGAGGATCAGGAGGCCAGTGTAGGGCACACAACATCCTGTCTTGAGAAAACAAAACAAAACAAAAAAACAAAGAGTGAGGCAGAATGGCTGCTGGAAGGATTTCACTGGGGTTGGGGGTTAGCAGAGTGTTTGTGAGCACCCATGAGACTAGAAAAGCCCATCCCCACACCCGGGTGGTAAAACCCATGAGGAGCCGCAGAACCTCCAGAAATGCCTGCACAACCCACATTCACCACACAGCTGTTGGTGAGAGGAGAAGTGACTTGGTTGCTAATACATTACAATTCCACATCAGAATGCAAAAGGCTTTCATCGCCTGGGTAAATACTTCTGCAGCAATTATTCCAAAACCAAGCTTAAGTCATAAATGTACCATGCTAACACTTGCTGGTGACTAGGGACTGGGGACAAAGCTTATGAGACCTCTCTGCACTATTTTCCCAATTTCATTATAACCCTAGGACTATTCCTTAAGAAAAGTCCCTGTTTAAGAATACAATAAACTGGTAGGAACAGTTTTTCAGAAGAATACTAATAAGGGAGAGTTGTTCAACCATATTCTTAACACATAATAAAGTCACTAGGATGATGTAAAATTAACACACAGAGCAGAGCAGTGTAAAATGTCCGGAAATAGGCTAACATAACTGAAAACCTATGCTGGAATTGGGCAGTAGCTCAGTGGAACATAAGTACTCAGTATGAAGACCTAAGTTCCATCCCCAGCAACACAGAGGCACACACACACACTGTTTCAAATTAATGGGAAAAGAATGGTGTTAAAACATGAAGTTAATCATTTGAATAAAAAGCATTCCTCAAACTTCCCCAAGGTCCTTGCTAATAACATGGCCACATCCCTGGGGGCGTAGTGTTTTAGAGTAAAGCCCAGAATTTTCCCCACACCTGGTGTCTCTCTCTGCATCTCCTTGGTTGTTTTATTGTAAAACTGAGACTTTAAACCAGGATACTCCGGGTGAGGAGGATGCTCTGCAGGGCTCGCTCTATCATCACACTGTGGCTTTAAGGAACCCGTCTCTTACTCTGCATCCCTATTTTGAGAAGCAGGCCTCATTACCAAAACAGTCTGCAGATGAAGCCAGAGTTGAGGCACATTCAACAGAAATCATTAAGTGTAAACCATGGGTGATTAATCGCCTAGTGTAAATGGGATGGAGGGCTGGCTATCTATCTACCCATGCTCACATCCTCATTCCTGAAGCTGGTGCACACGGGAGCTCATGAAACAAAATGGACTGTGTAGGTCAGATATAATTAAGGATCTTGAGAGGAGGGAGGCACCTGGATTTCATGGGAGGGCCTGATATCACCACTGGGTCTTAACAAGTTAACGAGAGAGGCAGGCGGGTCAGAGAAAAAGATGTGATAACAGAACCAAAGGCTAGAAAGATGTGATCACTTCTAAAGACAGAAGATGGCCAACAGCCAGGGAACACAGGTGGCCTCAGGAAAGACAAAGAATACACCTCTTCCAGCCGAGGGGGAGCCAGCCCTGCTCACACCTTGACTTTGTCACCGAGACCATCTGGACTTCTCACCTACAGAACAGTCAGAGATAAGACATGTCTGTGGCTTGTCATGGCAGAAACACAAACCTGATATCCTCTCCAGGCACCAGGCTCTGCTAGTTACTTCATTAAAACAAACAGATTCACTTAAGAAAGCGATGGACCTACAGTGAAATGGGTTTGCCCAGCTTTCCTGGCAGGCAGTGACGCTGTGAGACACAGTGTGTTGAGGGTAGGGTGCCAACCTCTCCTGTTGCCTGCCTCCTGACTAGAACACAGCCTGTGAGCCCTGAAGACAGGCAGAGCCTGGCTGGTGTCTGCTGACCCCTGTACTGCATACTTCAAGCCAGTCCAGGTCGATTCTGTTTTAATGGTGGCACTCTGGTGACAACCCTGAGATGCTGAATCAACTTCATGGATTTGATGAGACTGGTAAGCAACACTGGAACGGGCTTCTCCTGCTAATTCAATAAAGTTCCCATAATGAAGTCAAGCTTTCGTTCCTTGCTTTTTACTTTCTTATACAGCCCAGACTGGCCTCAAACTCCTATCATTACAGGTCTGCATCATCAAACCCAGCTTGAAACCAAGTTTTTTGTTTGTTTTGTATTTTTTAGTTTATTTGGATTTGTTTGCTTGTTTTTAGACAGGGTCTCTCTACAGGTGGCTGTCTTGGAACTTGCTCTGTAGACCAAGCTGGTCTTGATCTCACAGAGATCTCCCTGCCTCTGCCTCCTGAGTGCTGCAATTAAAGGCATGGGCCACCACACCAGGTTTTAAAGCAAGTACTTAAAATAGAAAAATAAAACCATCAATGTGAACCTCTTCAGTCTGTCCTATTCCCTTGGTTCTCAGTCCCACAAGGGTGACAAGATATCCTGTCAGAGCAGAAAAGCTTTGTAACGCTCAACACTAATCATTCCCGTGTCTTCAGCACCCCCACCACAGGCTAAGACAGAGTCCCAGGGAGGGTCACTCACAGATGATGTTGTGCCTTGCTGTTCGGACCTGGTACAAGTCCACATCTGCCCGGGGATAGCCCTCACAGTCCACCAGCGGCTCACTCATACCAATTCCTTTTTGCTGGAGGAAAGACACGTGGTTAAAATATCTCACAGAGAAGAGCATCATGATGAAATTCCCTGAACCCTTGTCCTTCTAACTCATGACAAAAGTAACAGTAAAGTCACACAGTAATCTCTTCAGCACACACCAGGCTCTTTGACTGTGTCCTTGCAGCTACCTCTGCAGCAGGTACTACTTCTTAAATTAATTCTTAATAATGAAAGCAATGAGGCCACAGAGATCAATCACTGAATAAAGACGCCTGTTGTCAAATTAACAACATGAGTCAGAGGCAGGTAGGTGGATCTCTATGAGTTCAAGGCCAGCCTGCTCTACAGAGCTAGTTCCAGGCCAGTCAGAGCTACACAAAGAACCCCATCTCGGAAAAACAAAACAAACAAACAAACAACAACAAAAAAAATTAACAACCTGCGGTCAATTTCTGGGACCCATATGAAGGTAGAAGAGGAACACAAATTTCACAAAGTTGTCCTCTGACCTCCATACACACTCTGTGCACAACATGCCCCCCCACTGTACACACATTAATAAAACGAAATCTTTGAAAAATTTAATGCAACTAAACAAAGCCTATGAAATGTAGTTTAGTCTGTTTTTTTGCAATATTCATTAAATACTGCCAAAATACCAAGAAAAAAAGAAAGAAAGAAAGAAAGAAAGAAAGAAAGAAAGAAAGAAAGGAAGAAAGAAAGGGGAAAAAGAAAAAAGTGTAGGCAAGCAATGAATGAGCACAGTGCACACAAAACCAAAGGCCCCAGGGTTGGACTGAGCTCAGTGGCAGAGAACTTGATTAGTATATGTAAGACCTTGGGTTTCATTCCCTGCAGCTTAAAAACAAATTAATAAATAGGGCTAGGGAAAGGATGCACCTCAGTTGCTGTAGCGCTGGCCTGGCATGCACAAAACCTTGGACTCCATTCCCAGCACTGCAGAAGCCAGGTGTGGTGGGGAATGATGTGGAGGCAGGAGAATCAGAAGTTCGAGGTCATTCTTGGTTACACAGTAAGTTCATATCAGCCTGGGACACATGAGATCTCTCCAATTAATTAAAGCAACAACAAAACACTCAAAGAGCCTTCCCAGGTTCCCTCTCAGTGCCATTCCTGACCTGACCCCTCCAACTCCTCCTTCCCAACAGCTGACACCTGGCTGAAGCTTTGAAGGCAAAGGGTGTAAATTCTAAAGAGATCCAGCTGTGGCCAGGTTTTGACTCTTTAAACAAACAAAAAGATGTCAGAGGCTCACCAAGGTTCTTTTCATCACTGGAAGGATGGCACTGGCTGCCTCCAGGGAAAGAAACTAAGTGGCTGGGAATTACGGAAGGGAGAGTTCTGCATTTGATAACCATTAGTGGGGTCTGAATCTGAACACTGGGAATATATTCCCTATTCAAAACAATACATGCACTTTAACAATTTATACTCAGCCTCACTATGTTTACCCAGGCTGTTCTCAATTCCCTGAGATTAACCAATTCTCTAGCCTCAGCCTCCTGAGTCACTGGAACCAGAGGTACCTATGCTTTAGGGCCTGTTATACCAAGTGTTTATTTGAAGCAGGTTCTCACACTGTAGCTCAGGTTGACCTCGTAATCATGGCAATCCTCCTGCTTCAGTCTCCCAAGTACTGGGATCACAGGTCTGAGTCGCCACAACTGAAGTTTTTTCTGAAGTTTCCCTACGTAAATCGGGGGCAAAGCACAAAAGCAATGGAATGTGTTGCACCGTAGTGGGCGGGAGCTGCCCAGCTGCCCAGACTTTTATACAAGCTGGGCATGTTTGTCTAAGACACATTCCAGACCCCAGTTTCCTCGGCCGCACAATGGGAATGAATGCAGCAGGCACCTGCTGGAGGACTAATACAGACGTGAAAGAACGCTTGTAGAGAGCCAGGCACGTTCAGCGTGGTGGACTGAGGAGCGGCTCCCGAGTACGGCCACACCCTACTCCCCAGAACTTCTGACTGTGACTGTGAGGAAGGATCTCAAGGGAAGGTGAGACGGAAGGACTAGGTCAAGTCTCTTCAGTTCCATTTGGGGATAGTTGTACAACAAGCCTAGATTCCGAGCTAACTCTGGGATCCTGCATTTAAAACAGTTGTAACTCAGCCGGGCGGTGGTGGCGCACACTTTTAATCCCAGCACTCGGGAGGCAGAGGCAGGCGGAGCTCTGAGTTCAAGACCAGCCTGGTCTACAAGAACTAGTTCAGGACAGCCTCCAAAGCTACAGAGAAATCCTGTCTCCAAAAACCAAAAAAACAATAATAACAACAAAAAACACCAGTTGTAACTCAACAGAATTCATATACAGGTAACTAACTGAGTCACTGAAAGTATATAATTCAATGGTTTATAATGTGTTCAAGAGTTAATCACCCACCACTACAATCAGTTTTAGTACATTTGCATCAACACCCCCTTAAAAAAACAAATCTTGGATAGCCCACTCCTACAATCCCAGCATTCAGGAGGCTGAGGCAGAAGGATATGGAATTCAAAACCAGCCTGACTGCAAAAAACAAAAACAAAGTTTTTTCTTAAAGACACAGGAGGGGCGTGTAGAGAAAGAATGTCTGACCAACCTATCCTGGACCTGTAAGAAGACATTTGCATCCTCCCCTTCCCCAAACCTTTGGAAACCATTAAACAACTCCGTACAGAGCTTCCTATCCCAGAGGTGTCCTGAAGATGTCTGAGCATTACAATCACAGACAGAAAAGGTTTATTTGGGCTCATAGTTTTGAAGTTTCAGTACAGAATTAGACAGACACTGTATGTATGTATGTATGTATGTATGTATGTATGTATGTATGTATTATGTGTATATGTATGTATTTTGGGAGAATCTTAGTTTAGCTTTGTGGAGAGACAGAACATCCACATGCATACGATGGAGGAAGCCATTTCCATCATGATCCTGGGAGCAAGAAAAGAAAAAAGGAAGGTCTGGGGCTCCCCTACCTCTGTAAGGGCATGTCTCCAATGACCAACAGTAACTACCCACCAGGGACACCCCTCCAATAACCAACAGTAACTACCCACCAGGGACACCCCTCCAGTGACCAACAGTAACTACCCAGCAAGGGCAGTCCTCCAATGACCTACAGTAATTACCCAGCAAGGACACGCCTCCAATGATCAACAGTAACTAACCCAGCAAGGGCACAACTCTAATGACTGACAGAGCTCTACCTCCTAAAGGTCCCACCATATCTAAGAGCACCAAACTTTCAGGTCTTCAGGGAAGAGACTCATATTAAAACAAGATATTTCATATATATGATACTATGAAACACCAGGCACTGACACGCACTTAATAATCCCAACATTTGGCAGGCCAAGACAGGAAAATTACAAGTTTGAGGTCAGCTTGAGCTAGAGAGAGTTCAAGGCAGCTTGAATTTTTACCCAGATGTACATCAAAAAAAGCTAGGAATAGTGGTGCCCACTTATAATCCCAGCATTCAGGAGGCTGAAGCAGGAGGATTGCCAAGAGCTCAAGGCTAGCCTGGGCTATATAGTAAGTACAGGGAGCTAGCCAGAAGTACATAGCAAGATGAGAGAAAGAGAGAGAACACATAAAATACATGAATTAGTATGATTAATTCACTATTCCTTTTCTTATCCAATAAGATTCACTATTCCCTTTATTGTTCCAAATAATATTTCACTGTATGGATAGACTATTTTATTTATCTGTCACCCAAAGAACATTTGTATCGTTTTCCATTTCTTAGATAATTTAAACAATGTATACAAATTTTGGGATGAATATATATTTGCAACTATCATAATTATCACATGGGAGGAATGGATTTTCTGGGTTATGTGACTGTTTAATTTTTGAGAAACTGAAAAACAGTTTTAAACAGCAGCTATACTATCATACAGTTGTCTGGTTTCCAATTTCTCCGTATTCTCCCCAAGATGTTACCTACATTTTCATTACACCCATCCTAGTGAGTATGAAGTAGTATGTCACAGTGATTTTAACTACATTTCCCTAACAGCTAGAAGTGTTCCTCATGCTTCACTTTTAGGATTTATTTTGTGCATGAGTGTTTTGCCTCCATGAATGTGTGCGAACCATGGGCATGCAGTGCCCGCAACCATCAGAAGAGGCATCAGATCCCAGAAGTGGAGCTACAGGTGGCTTTAAGTTAGCACATGGGTGCTGGGAATTGATCACGGGTCCTCGACAAGAGCAGCCAGAGCTCTTGATCACTGAGTCATCTCTCCAGGCTGATGTATGTGCTTGTTTATTAACCATATGTGCGCTGTATCAGGAAAGGGTCTTGCTATTTCACTATATAACCCTGGAACTCTGTGTAGCTCAGACTGGCCCTGAACATGTGATAATCTCCCTGCCTTTGCCTCCTAAGTGCTGAGATTGCAAGTACAACACCACACCTGGCTAAATGATGAATAGTCGGCCAATACATGAGTTATTTGATTCTACCTGACCAACCCTGAGGTCTGAACCTCACTTGTCAATTCAAGCACATTTCTCCTTTCATGTATGTACACACACACACACACACACACACACACACACACACACACACACACACGGGTGTTTGTTACAGTGTCTGTTGAAATGTTTCCACAAGGGTATGGAGTTACAGGTGTTTGTGGGACATGTGGACTGTTATACAGTAGGCGCAAGATTTGAACTCCAGTCCTTACGATTGTGCAGCTGGTGGTCTTAACCACTGAGCTATCTCTCCAACCCTAGACTTTGCCTCTTCGAGCTTCAGGGGCACACACCAACTTAACAGTGTAGCTGTGACAGTTTCCTGATACAGTGCACATATAAGCCAGTACCTTTCAGGCACATGGTCAGCCAATAGTAAGATGGTACCTGGCATAAGGTACTACTGTGGAATATTAGTTTAAGGTGTGTAACGTTTGTTTATGCGATGGAATATTTGTTTAATGATGCAAAGATGTGTTGCATTCTTTTATGTTGCATTTGTTTAACTCTGTGAAGCTGTGTTACTCTGCCTGCCTGAAACACCTGATTGGTCTAATAAGAGCTGAATGGCCAATAGTGAGGCAGGAGAGGGATAGGCAGGGCTGCCAGGCAGCGAGAATAAATAGAAGGACTGAGAAAAGGAGGAAGAGGATCAAGAAGAGGAGGAGGACACCAGGGACCAGCCACCCAGGAAGAAGGAAAGAAAAATATATAGAATAAAGAAAGGTAAAAACCCCAGAGGCAAACCATAATTAAAGAGAAACAGGATAATTTAAGTCATAAAAGCTGGCTAGAAACAAGCCAAGCTAAGGCTGGGCATTCTTAAGAATAAGTCTCTGTGTATTTATTTGGGAGCTGGGGGGGGTGGGGGAAGGGTCCCCAAAGAGTAAAAGTGAAACCAACTACATCTAGCTAATAGTCTACAACACGGCACCTCTGCATGGTACATCATATTGTGTCCATCATCTAAAAGTCGCTCTACCCAGCCTAACTAGCTCCGCTTTTGCTCCCTTTCCTCTACAAACTGATTTGCAGTTTTAAGAAAAAAAAATGTCTGCTTTGGAGGTAGACATCACAGAACCTGATGCACCACCGACACCTGCTAATCTGGCGAGCATTTGCTCCACTTTGGGTCTGTTTCCCTTTTTACAGTAAGGATAATGGGGGTGGGTTGTTTGGGTTTTGTTTGTTTGTGTGATTGGTTGGTATGGTTTGGTTTTTGAGACAGGTTTTTCTCTGTGTGACAGTCCTGGCTGTCCTGGAACTCTGTAGACCAGAGCTGGCTTCAAACTCACAGAGATCCACCAGCCTCAGCCTTAGGAAGGCTGGGACTAAAGGTGTGCTCCACCACCGCCTGCTAGGATAATGGGCTTTACCTGTCAATCAAAGCAGTCCTTAGCAGCGCAGCTGGGAGTTTTCTTGAAATGCAGAGTCTGTACCACCCCAATTAGAATGTGCACTTTATTCGTTTTGGAATAGAGTCCAATACAGCCCAGGCTGGCCTCGAGCTAACTATGTAGCCAAGAATAATCCTGAACTTCAAATCCTCCTGCCCCCACCTTCCAAGAGCCGCAATTACAAGTGAGGATGCCTCTCCTGGCTGCAACCTGCACTTTAAGGCCCAGTTAATTCTCACAGACTGACATTTATTAAGTCCTAGTGAAAAACGGGTGGCAAGCCACGCCCCACCTGGTAACGTTACCTACGGACCGTGACAGTGGCGATTATCACTATGCCTCAGCAAATAGTCTACCTTAGTGGCCAAGGTAGTTTAACTAATGCCTCAAGCCTGTCATGGTGGCACAGGCCTGCAATTCCTGCACTTGACATGCTGAAGCAAGACGATCAAGAGTTCGAGGCCAGCTTGGGCTGCACTAAAAAACTAAAAACCACAAAGTTAAAGCTTCGGAAAATGAAAACAAATCCCACGTCAAGGGGTCACTGAGGGGTAACGAACGGAAAGCGCTTAGTGCTCGGCAGGAACCCCAGGGCCGCGCATCCGCAGGCCTCCCGGTCCTCCCCGCCCGGAGCCCGAGCCGCACTCACGCCCTCCAGGACGTCGTAATTAGCTTTAATCTGCGCCTCGATCTCCTCCTTGCGTCGCATCAGCTCCTGGATGTCGCTGACCACAGCCGCACGGGCCTCGGAGGACTCTGCCCCGTGGCGGGCTTCCTCACCAGACATCGCGAACTACGACCTGATGCGCTGGACGCCGGGTTTCCCGGCTACAGACACCAGCAGAGACAGCCGCTACGGGTCCCTCCGAGGGCCAAAACACTCAGCCAACGCTGGTGCACGGGGGAAATGTACAGGGTGGAGCTTGAAACCAGGACCAGGTCACCGGAAGCCCCAACTAGGTAGACCACGTGGTTTTCCAATGACCCGGCAGACAAACTTAGGCACACACAACCTAGGCTTTTCTTACTAGAACTTCACAGCTGACTCATTTTCATTCTTTCTTTTCTTCCTTCCTATTTTCTTTCCTTTTCTTTTCTTTCGTTTTCCATTCTTTCCGTTTTTCTTGCATTCCTTTCTTTTCCTTTCTGCCTTTTTCTTTTCTTTCTTCCTTTTTCTTTTCTTTCTTCCTTTCCTATCCCCCCTTTCTCCCTCCCTCCTTGCCTCTCTCCCTCCTTCCTTCCTTTCTTTTTCTGTTGAGACAAGGCTTCTCTGTGTAGCCCTGGCTGTCCTGGAACTCACTGTGTAGACACCCCCTACTCCGCCATGTCCAGTTTACACTTTCTTTTTTCATTCACTCAGCCTGTACTGTGCACCAACTGTATGCATGTGAGAGGGTTCTGTGCTGCTGTCCAGTTCAGCGCATTTAGAAAATGGTTTTAAGCATTTTGGGCTTTTCAGGCAGAGTCACCTGTATCTCAGGCTAACCTCAAGCTCATTATATAGAAGAAGATGACCTTGGAACATTTTTCAAGTTTTTTAGAATATTCTACAATTTCATACATGTATACAGTAATGTGTCTGGATCACATCCACCATCAACACCCCCTCCCATTCTGCCTGGGTCCCACCCCCCACTTCCTCTTCACACCTTCAAGTCCTCAGTGTTTTCTTTTTAATAACCTACTGAGTCCAATGGCCTGTAGTTGTGATTTTTCTTTGGGTTCCTAACCAGCTCCCAAATAAAGACATGGAGATATGGAGACGTGTTATTAATTATGAATGTTCACCCAGTAGTTCTTTTTTTTAAAGATTTTTTTAAATTAAGTATACAGTGTTCTACCTACATGTACCCTGCTCGTCAGCAGAGGGAACCAGATCTCATTCCAGGTGGTTGTGAGCCAACATGTAGCTGCCGGGAATCAAACTCAGGACCTCTGGAAGAACAGTCAGTGCTCTCATCCTCTGAGCTATCTCTCCAGCCCCGCCCCGTAGTTCTTTTAACATAACCTGTTTCTATTCATCTACCTTTTGCCTTGGACTTTTTACCTTTCTTTCATTCTGTGTGTCCTACTTTCCTGCTTCCTCTGTGTCTGTCTGGCTGGCTGGCCCCTGGCATCTCCCTGTTGTCTCTTTTTGTTTATTCTCCCTAGCCTAAATTTCTCCTCCTACTTACTCTCCCTGCCCACAAGTCCTGCCTATACCTCCTCTGCCTAGCTATTGGCAGCTCAGCTTTTTATTGGACCAATCAGGTACCTTAGGCAAGTCAGGTAAAACAGCAACACATCTTTACATAGTTAAATAAATGCACCATAAACAAATGTAACACATCTTTACATAGTTAAACAAATGCAGCACATCTTTGCATAGTAAAATATTCTGCAACAATGGCTTTGTACACCTGATCGTTCCCATTCTCCCTCCTCAGGCAGGGATTGCAGACATACCACCAGGCATGGTTTATGTAATATTGGGATCAAACCCAGGGTCTCATGGCTGCTAGAGGGCATCCTACCAACCACTCTGGGGTTTCTTATGCCTCATGGTACAATCCCTACAAACCTGAGTTGGAAGCTGAACTGTTGCCACTGACTGCAGCCCATGTGAGCTTAGCTAATTTCACCCTCTGACCTCTCACCTCACATTGTGTGACACTGACAGCCATATGCCTCTTAAGGGTGTTCAGATTCTCAGTGAATTTCCCTTCTGCCTTATGGGCTAGCGAGGTGAAGAACATGAAGCAGTGTCTCTGTACATGTAGGTAAAATAGAAATGGGGAGGTGGTGGGGAGAAGGCTAGGTTGAGAGCACTCACAGCGCCTGCAGAGGGCCTGGGATTAGTTCCCATCCTCACATGGAAGCCCACTACTGTCTGTCTCTCTAGTTCTAGTGGACCCAATGCTCTCATCTGGCCTCCGTGACCATCAGGCTCACACACAGTACACGTTCACGTATGCAGGCAAAACCCCTGCACACTGTCTTAGTCAGGGCTACTATTACTGTGATAAAACATGACCAAAGCAAGTTAGCAAGGAAAGGGTTTGCCGGGCAGTGGTGGTACACACCTTTAATCCCAGCACTCAGGAAGTAGAGTCAGGTGGATCTCTGAGTTCGTGGCCAGCCTGGTATACAGAATGAGTTCCAGGCCAGACTCCAAACCTACAGAGAAACCCCATCTCAAAAAACAAACAAAAACCAAACTGGTTTGACTTATACTTCCATACCACAGTTGATCACTGAAGGAAATCAGGACTAGAACCTGGAGGCAGGAGCTGATGCAGAGGCCATGGAAGGGTGCTGCTTACTGACTTGCTCCTCATGGTTTGCTCAGCCTGCTTTCCTATAGAACCCAGGACCACCAGCCCAGGGATGGCACAACCCACAATGTGCTAGGCCCTCCCACATCCGTCACTAATTAAGAAAATGCCCTACAGGGATGGAGAGATGTCTCAGAGGTTAAGAGCACTGGCTGCTCTTCTCTTCCAGAGGACCTGAGTTCAATTCCCAGCAACCACATGGTGACTCACAACCATCTGTAATGAGATCTGGTTCCCTACTTCTGGCAGTGCAGGTGTACATGCAGGCAGAACACTGTACACATGATACACACGCAAAGAAAATGCCCTACAGTTGGATTTTTTGTTTTTGTTTTTGTTTTCTTTGGTTTTTCGAGACAGGGCTTCTCTGTATTGTTTTGGAGGCTGTCCTGGAACTAGCTCTGTAGACCAGGCTGGCCTCGAACTCACAGAGATCCGCCTGCCTCTGCCTCCCGAGTGCTGGGATTAAAGGCATGCGCCACCAACGCCCGGCTACAGTTGGATTTTTAAAGATTTATTTATATTATTATTATTATTATGTGCTCTTAACCACTGAGCCATCTCTCCAGCCTCCCTGTAGTTGGATCTTAAGGAGGCGTTTTCTCAATTGAAGTTCCAGCCTCCTTTCAGATAACTCTAACTTGTGTCAAGTTGACATAAAAACCAGCCTACACACATAATAAAAATAAAAATTGTAGTAGTTATAAGGGATGGGATGGGAGTTTAACTTAGTGGTAGGGCCTTGATGAGAAAGAGAAAAACAGATGTCAAATACTGTTCTACATGCCTTACAACCCAATGAAACCAAGTGTATTGTTGCCCTTATTTGACAGCTAGGAAAACCATTTCATCCAGGAGGTGGTGGCACACGTCTTTAATCCCAGCACTTGGAGGCAGAGGCAGGTGGATCTCTGTGAGTTTGAGGCCATCTGGGTCTACAAAGTGAGTTACAGGACAACTTGAGCTGCTACACAGAGAAACCTGAGAGAGAGAGAGAGAGAGAGAGAAACCTTGTCCCCAAAAAAAGATGCTATTGGAGCCAGGTATGGTGATGCCAGGCATGATGTTGTAATTACATAAGAAAATTTCCTTACTGAAAGGCAATAAATACCCTAGTATTGAGGGGATCACAATTTCTACAACTACCTTGCAAGTGGTGTTAAGTTTTAAAAGCTACAGGGTGATGTGAAGAAGTAAATGTAACAATATATAAGTTTGGAGAATGTATGGATGTCTATGGAACTATCTGGCAAATCTTCTGGGCTTTGAAATATATCCAAGTAACAAGGTCAAGAGTCCCACCAGAGCCTCCTAAAACCAAGGCTGCTGTCTAAGTGACTGTTCCGCAGTTACATCAGCGTGGCTGTGATCAAGAAGCCTGTGAATGCCCCACCCTTTCTACTGCCTGGGTAGCTCTCAAATCCATCATCGCCTCCATCTCTCGCCAATACCCCATCTTCCCTAATTGCAGCCTAACAGCTGACTTCTATTAATCCATTCCCCACCAGCTTGAATAACCTCTCTAAAGGGCACCATTACCACCGTGTTGCTTAAAAGCTTTCAACGACTTTCTAGCACTCTTGGGCTTTACGGCCCTTCTGGTCTCTGTTTGCTCTCAGGCTCTCAGCCTCCCTCCTTCCTCCTGATACTCACACTATTGGATTTTAGCGCTACTGAGCATCTTAGCAGTCTCTAGCACTCAGGGTCTTTCTCAGAACAGCATCGCAGACCCGGCTGATCAGCTCCTCCCCGAATCTCTGTGCGCAGATCCGATGCTGGGCTGTTTTCTGCCCTTTCTGCCTGGCGTGGTATGTAAATGTTTGCCCTGGATGTTCGTGTTTGGCCCGGATTCTCAGAAACTGTGGATACAGCCTTGTTTAACTTTAGGTGTTTGAGTGTCTGTTGGGGTCGCAGTGTAGGAGAGGTGGAGGGGCCGATCTTTCTTCCTTCACCCGGCTGTTTGGTTCACTGCCCGAAGTGACACAGCCTAACAGGACTTGTGTCTTAGGTAGCTGCCAGGATCTAGAGGAACCTAAATTGCTTGTCTCTTCTATGCAACATGTCTTTATCATGTTCCCTTCAGAACAAGAGAGGCCAGAAGATAGGGAACCGCAGAGGGAGCCAGCAACAGAGGCCCACCCTATGGAGATCTGTGGGTCAGAATCAGCAGTCTGGTGTTATTTCTGTCTTTCGACTCATGAGCACATCCTCTCTTTTCCTGAGTTCCTCTCTTCTCTTTCCCCCCTCCCAGTTTTTGTTTTTTGTTTTTGTTTTTGTTTTTCGAGACAGGGTTTCTCGTGTGCCACCACTGACTGGCTTTCCTGAGTTTCTTAACAGTAAAAACATGAGATTTCGAGAGCCCAAAGGGTAGCGGATTTGTGCAAGTTAGGACCCAAAAAGTTTTAAAGAAATTAGAAAGAAGGGGACCAGAGAGATGGCTCTGTGGGTAAAGTGTTTGACACACCAGCATGAGGGCCTGAGCTGGGACCCCAGTGCCCATGAGAAGCCAGCTGTGGAACATACATCCATAACCTCAACACTGGGAAGAC